AATTCCACATGAAATCAGGTGCATTTTACGCAGGGGGGCAATGCAGTTGCCACCACGAGGGGGTACATGGCAGAGGAGTGGTGGACTTAGGACAGGCCAAAACAAGCTGCCCACATTAGAAAAAAACAGAGCACAGAATGACGTCCCTTCTGCCTCTCCCCCTTGCATGAATTCCTAGGAAGACTTTATAAGAAACCCCCAAATAACCTTTTTTTACATTTGGAGATGGTAAACAATTGCAATTCAACCTTCCACAAGAGATGTGGTCCTCATGGTGTCCCACACATGGGAAAAGAAATAAAGAGGTCTGACAGAGGCTCATACCTTGCATGTGTGGAGTGGCAGCTGCAGTGCATGCACAGAAGCAGGTGAGGAATTTCCAGGTCTAATAGGTGTTAGGTTCATGGTGGTAGGAGCAGCAGAAAAGCCTAGTGAGGAGAAGTGAGTAAGGGAAGAAAAAGGGAGGGCAGCTCCCATAGTGAAGATAGCTGAGGGAAAAAAAAAAAAAAAGCACATTGGTAATAAAATGAAAATTAAAAAAACCGTGCAATTCATCCCTGGTTTCATGATGAGTCAGTAAAGGCATGAGAGACAAATTTAGCCACAGTATATAAAAATATCTCAGTGTGATATGAGACAGAATATACACTGGGTTCAACAGCCTTAATTCAATCCATTGAAAAAACATGTAGGAATCCAGTTTGTGTGGTTCATACATCCCTAGAACAGAACCTGGCACCTTATTTGTCTCTAAGGTGAGTCACTGCTAGGATGGACAGAGCAGGTGTGCAACAAGAAAGAGCGAGCTTAGAGACATCACAGCAGCTACCTGCTGTAGGTTGACAGTTTCTGATTCTGCTTTGCTGGAATGCCTTGTAAGTTTGTACTAAAACGGATTCCTTCTAGAGCAAGTCTTCACCTACCTACATGCTCCATTTTCCCTTTTCCAGTGTTTTTTGCCCAAAAATCTACCAGAAGTTCTTTTCTTACTCTCGTAAGAGAAGCAGTGCTGAGGTAGAGCAAATCACATCCTCTCCAACATTACGGTAACCAAGAAATGTGACTACAACTGCAGACTCGGAAGACTTTGATTGCTACAGGCTGCTCTGCACACCACAGTACACAGAGTGTTTCTACTGCCTTTTTAAAATCCCGCCATTCACTCTGTTTTGTGCGCTTTGCTCGATATTGAATTTATGGCCATGCTGTTTCTTTGTAATGCACTCTGCTCACATAATTACTGGTGTAATTACTAGCTTGACTCTTCAGGATTTCTGGCTGCTATGTTCTCCCAGCTCAAGTCTTTCTACACACCAGAGTAGCCAGAAGCCTTGCGTATGGTAAAGAAAGATGCACTTCACTAACATTATCTTCCTTTGCTGCAGTGGTGAAGGAGCAGAAGTAGGTATCTTTGCACGTTAGGAATAAACTGATTAGCAGCAAAAGTGGTGGAATGTTCTGTACATGATACAAGGAGAAAGGTCTTTTAGCATCTTGGCACTGAGAGAATATAAAAATTTTTATCATCAATTCTTACAAACCCATCAGATTATTCAAAGCAGTAAGCAGAATGTGAAAAACATTATCCAGTAGCAGTGATCTATGCCTAAGAGAATTCAGAGAGCTAGAGCTTCTCTTTCTTGTCCCATGCACTTCCACCCCTCCTTCTTTGGTCATACCTGTCCATTCTCTCATTTCCTCCCTGTTTTCCACACTTCTCCTTGGGATCCCCAACGTTAATCATACACTTTTGTGCTTTTAACTTCAAAAGGAAACTTTCCCAATGTTACCAAGTGGCTTGTTCCCACCTATGAAAGATCCTGCTTGCCTATTCTTGCTGCAGAGTATGGAGTCAAAAGATGCTTCTGAGCACCTTGTCAGTATGCTCCCAGCAGCTCACCCTTTGCCATGCCACATTCCCTTAGATTCCTGCAGTCCTTCATCACTGGATGTGTCCCTCCACCATCCCTACAGGCTGCTCATATTCCTCTCTCCTGCCTCAGTTGTGTCCACGTGCTCTTGCTCTCTTCCCTTTGATTACTGCTACAGACTTAGGCAAGAGCTTCCCTCGGGCCATGGAAAAGCATTGCACCAGATCCTGTGCAAGCACCTCCTCAACCCAATACAAAACCTTGGAAAATGCAGCTGCCAAACCCCAGGAGACACTGCAGCAATGCCTCTCCAACACAAGAGACACTTCTGAAGCTCCACTTAGCTCCTAACAGGTTCAGTCAACCTGAACATAATAATGAGAACCACTTCTCTAACATTTGCAGATCATTCTGGAAGACACAGTGGAAACGCTTTGAGTGTTCAGGCCATTTCTCTCGTAGTAAAGAAAGAAATATACAAAGTTATTTCATTTGTTTTAATTGATCACTGGCTAAATTGTAATACATTTCAAAGCAAAATATTCTGTTCAAGGACATTGTACCAAACATTAAATCTACTTTTAAACAAGGCTTAATTTGACTATTTTACCTTATATACATACAGGTATAAGTTTCATTTCACTAGTAGCAAAATTGCACAGTACATTGCATTTCCTGAAAGATGGCAAAACCAGGAATTGAGTGTCTGTTCTGTCCTTCCACACACTCCAAATCAGAAAAAAACACAGGTATTGAAAGTACAATCACAACTACAGGTAAATACAATAAGGACCTCAGAACAAGCCAAGACCCTATGAGAGATGACAATCACTTCTAGAAATCTACATTGCAAATATAGAGTACATTCCACTAAAGAGTTTTGGGAGTTCACACAATGCCTCTTGATCCCCTTTTGGTAATAAAAGCTTCTATGACAACACGTATCCTTCATAAAAAGAACTGAATTTGTATTTTTGGAGTATATGTTGGAAGCTTAATGCAGTCTAAACTGCAGTCCACAATAAGCTCACCCAAAGAGAGAGTAAGCAAGCATTGCAAGACTCATCAAGTTCAGAACCAGAGCTCAGCTCCTCCTCATTGGGCTCCTGGGCGCGAGAGCTGCTCTGCACCAGGGACTGGCTCGAAGGGTGGGAAATGATACATTCCTTTTACAGCTTGTGCAAGTCAATCACCTGCAAATTCTTGACAGAAAATGTCAACTGAGTCATACACGATTAATTTGATTTTATTTACAAAGTAGCCTTACATCCAAATTGTTAGACAATTAAGAACACAGCTAAGGAGCAACAAGGTTTCCACACTTAGGCTAGCCCTGAAAACAGTTCTTCGGGCAGCAGAGTGCAGCGGCCAACAAGTGCAAACACACTGTCACTGGTGGGGAAACTGCAGTCTGGCCTCAGCAAGCACAGAATCCAGCAGCCCCAAAGATGAGATTTCTGTTAAGCTCAAACTCTGCTTTGGTTTGTGCAAAATATTAATCTTGTGCATATAGCTTTCACAAACGAACTGTTGCTCTGTGCTTGGCAAAACAAAATGGAAGGAGCTGTCCAGAATTACAAAGAACACGGAGGTAAACAAGGCATTTTTCATGAGCACTAGTTACCCTAACAAGTACAACACCAAGGACTCTGCCACTGTTCCAAGGAAATGTACTTTATCAGCAGTTTTGGAGGTTTTCTGTTCTGTACTTGCTGATGAAGCTGCCACTAATTAGCAAAATTGCTGAACTTGACCCAACTAACAATGCTGAGGACCTTTTCATTCCAGGCTTTATGTCTAACTAAACACCAACACTTTTTGCTGCTCCTAAGGAACTCTGACAGCAATAGGAAATACCAAACAGGCATGTTCGAGGTGGAAGACACCAGCTGATTTCCGCTGGTTGAAATAGATCACTTGTTTCTATTAGGCAGACTCCAGCCACACACTCTCTTAACACCAGTTCTTCTTCACAGATCGCAGTTTTAAAAATTACGTTGCTGGACTCCCTAGATCTAACAGCAATATAACGCAAGCAATGTAATTAAAAAATAACTACTGAAAATCTGCCCAAACATTTTTTTAAACCTGCTTTTTAGAAACTTCTGTGAAAAAAAAAAAAAAAAGCTAGGGACTTGGTACTCCCACTTGTTACAGTCAGTCAACAGCGTTCTAAAAGGGCTGGAAAGCAGGCTGCAAACCAGGTTCTCTCTATTTATCTACACCTGTTTTTAGCAGAGGTAGGTAGCAATAGGTCAGTGGAGAGAGAATTAGAAAACAGTATGTCAGATGTACTTTAGAGCCCTGGTGTTTTTCTCTACTCTTCCTTTAATCTATCTTGTGCTGTTTTCCTTTTTTTCTTGCAATAACCATCTCAGCCTACTTACTTTTGGAAAGTGAGCCCTGGCAGGCTGCAAACAATATATGACATTAATCAGGTGCTGTTACCAGACAGAGAACCAACCAACGTGGGCCAGCAGGCACCATGGCTTGCTGCAAGAGTCAAGAAGGTGCTTCATAGGAGAATCTCAAGTGCCACATGCACAGCCTGGTAGGCAGAGTATCAACCTGCAGGCAACACTCAGTGACCTCACCTTCAAGCTTCACAGCCAGCAGAAACAGATATAAAGTTCAGCTCTCAGGGCGTGGCTTCAACACTTCAAAACTTAACTGTGCAATGAACAATTAACATGAATGGAAAATAAACATTTTATGCAAAGAGAGAATCCAGCCAAGTCTCTGATTTTTTTTTTTTTCTGAAGCCTGTTCTAAAAGCTTTTCAGTTTGTAGACACTAATAATAGTGCTACAGTGAAATGTGTGTGCAATCATTTGAGGGCACTCCTAGTCCATACAGCAGACAGACAATTAACGAGTAAGTACAAAGCAAAAGGTTGAAAAGCCTTCATTCCCAGATTTTTCTAGCATTTTTATTACTGTTTTACGATTAATTCATACAACTCTGGACGTTTTTCTTCCAAATGACCCTCTCCTACAAAAGCAACATTAAGACTCAATACACATTTAGCTTACTTTAACTTCCCTCTTCCCAGATATGCCTTAGACTAAGAAACACCTTTAGTAGTCCTCATGCTGCTTTGTGTTGGACAGAAAACAAAACTGCTATTTATTATGTTCATATTCACCACTTGAACTTTTTTTAATTTCCAAATTAGTTTGCTTACAGAACTTTAATGAAATCCCCATTGTTTGCACATTCTTGCATGTAACACAGAGAAATGGCACAGTTACAAAACATATAACCAAAATCAAAACACCTTACCCAAAATAGTTTAATTGTCAAGATTTATCAGTTTACCAAACCAAGCCTCTCCCAGTTCTTAGCAGCAAAATTCAATTATGTAGAAAGGAGCAGGACAGAGGAATTGGCCATTTCCCCCACTGAGAACCAGAGCAGACTAAGCCATAAAACAAGCTGAGTGGTTCTGTCAACCCAACTGAAGTTTCAGTAATTATCTAATGGCTCTTGGAAGAATCCACAGCCAAACTTCTTGATTTTCCATAATACTTAAAAGAGAGAGCTAATTTCAAGAGATCTTCAGTCCCAGGTAAAATACTTGCACTCCATGTTTTCCCTGTTTACTTAAAATCACATCTAAGTTTCTTCTTTGATGTTTCAAGAAAATTTTGCAAGCAAGAGAAATTAAAAAAAGATTAATGTAGCTATCATCCAGAAAATGCTACCAAATATACAAATCAGAGGAAGATATTTTCCTCCCAATTTTCATGTTTTAATTTTTTAAACCTGTATTTCAAGAAAAGAGCAATTAAAAATGTGTGCCTCAAAATTAAGTTGCCTGTATGTGCTGAATGAACATGGGTTTTTAAAGCAGTCCTTCCTTATTCTAGGCAGCCCCCTTAGAAATGCTTTATCTTTCATCTGTATATAGCACTATGGTCAAAGTTATTATGTATCTATGTTTGTCTTTTCAAACCTATTACTAGATAACATTTGCCCTAGAACTGTAAAGAGGTCTCCCACAAACCTATCCTACTAGAGGAAGCCTTTAATTTCCATGGTTGCAGAACACATATGCAAACAATTAATGAACTGTCCAAGGAAAAAAGATTAACTCTTACTTTAAATCAGACAGCAAGTTACATACATTTTATGAAGAAATCTACTGAGATTTACAACTGCTTCAAAGCAGTAACTGAGATACAACAGCAGCTATGAATGATATACAACCTTCCAGATCCATAACTGATCCTAGCTTCACCTTAAAAAAAAAAATCACAGCAGCTGAATATATATGCAAATATACACAAACAAAACCTTTGATCAGAGGTTAATAAGTAACTGTGTTATATCAGAGCTAGAGACTAGGCATTGCAAGTGTTCAGCAGTCCCTAATCCACCAGCTCTCAGGTTGGTGCAGCAGTGGAAAGTCTCATCCAACACACCTTTCAGGTGTCATTAGAATCTCATGTTTCCCGTTCAGATGTTGCTCAGCTGAACAGTTACCCTCTGCTAATAATTCAGATTCCCTCTCAGATAAGCATGCAAAATACATAAAAAGGCAAGTGATCAAAATATCCCCTTGAACGCTCAACTGTCTGGTATCAAGAGACTGCTGCTGAAGAGTTAATATCCCAGCACTAATTTTCAACGTTTGCAAACTCGATATGGAAATTGCATTTTGTTATTACACAGAGAATAACAGTCATTGGTCATTTCCATCATTCACCTCAGCACTAGTGTAAAAATGCCTTCTGAACAGGGATGAGAAAACATGGCAAGTTTTGTTACCAAGTTGTGTCTCTACTCATGTTGCACTAAGCAGTGCATGGAAATAGGTGAGCAGAAATTCAACATTCTACCAAGACACACCATGTTTTCACATGCACTGATGCCATGCGTTTCTCAAAAATACAGAAGTTCAAACATGCAGCAAAATGTTTATGAAAGCACTTTAAATGCTCACCAGATGATAATGAGTGATTTAATACTCAGACAAGTCAAAGCACAGTAAAAGGTTTGTGCTTACACTTCAAGTTTCAAAGTAACATTGTTTCTATCAGAGTATTTGAAGTGCAATGAAAGGAAAGTTCTACTGAATTCAGAAGCAACAGACACCATTTAAAGGAGTAGGAAAATAAGCACAGGTCAGAGTACTCCAATAAATAAAAAAAACAGCAGGAACATGCAGACTTCAGAGTCAAAACTTCTTTTTAGATTCATGATATGTAAAAAAAAAAAAAAAGAAAAGAAAAAAAAAAATCAAGAACAACCCTGTCTGACTTTCCCACATGTGGTGTCTTTTTGGCTAAACAACTGTTACTCTATTGTAAGGAACACATATTACCAGTAAACATTATTTACAGAATGATTATCAGATTAATTATATAAAATACAGATGAAAATATACACCCTTAGGTTTGAGATAAGCCAAGCAAATTCACTTCTGCTAACTAAAGCACTTTGAAGAAGGCAACAGGCACCAAATATCAAAACTGAATCACAAAACTACTCAAAGTAACAGACAAATTTGGGACGGTAGAGGTACAGCAAAGATCAATTAAGTTGGAATGATTTAAAATACTAGCCTATCACTTATTATTTAGCTTCAATAAATTCTATTTTTCTTATACAAAATTGAAGAGAAACCTTTACTCCCAGACTGTGATTTCTACAGGTACTCAGCAGCTTTTTTCTTAATGCATCTATGTAATGTTTTTTACTCTATATCTTACAAAATACATCCCCACATTTAAGTGCATGACTAGAAACTGTGCTGAAATCGTGGAAAAGTGCTTCACAAATCTCAGGCGCAGTAAAGTCATAACAATGCTCAGCTCCAGTTTCTGGAAGCAGTTCTGTGAAAGGAGAAGTTTCAGAAAAGTGCCTTTGATCCCTGGTTTTCGAACTCTGACCATGCATCATTCAATTCCATGAAGATCATTTTGGCATATTGCTCGTAGGGCTGTCCTGTGGCCTGGAAATAAAGAGAATGTGCCATAAGCATAAAAATACTAGAAATTAGGTAATATAGAAAAGATCCCAGCCCTTTTTTATTTACTGCCTTATTCAACAGCTATAGACTGCTCTGTGAATATAATTTTACAGACAGAACTCTCTCCAACCTTATCCAAAGCCTACTCAAAGACAGTATGCTCCTGATTCCCTGCCTGTTTCACAGCAGCCCTGACTCTGGGCCAGCACAATTCAACCCTTGTGGTTAATAAATATCCAGTCCCAAAAGATGGTTCTCTCCAACAGAAAAGGAAAGCCCCAGAGCCTCCTCCAGTATCTTTCTCCTTAGCTTTTGCCACTTTATCAACGTACTTAGAGAGTGCTTTTACGGCTAAGTGGCAGAATATAAGAGCAAGGAAGACAAACATGCCTTAAATAGAGTGGTGTTCTGACACTGATGCATTAAGGGTCTTACAGAAAACACCTAAAAAAAAAAAAAATCACAGAAGTGGAAGAAGTCACTTACTCAAGAACACCGAAGGACAGGGGGAACTCAAAGAACAAGAAAATGTCTTGTTTGTTTATGGACACAAGACAACGTGGGATTTAGACTACTGCTCACTAAACCACCAGTGAATGCAAACCTGAAAATCCAAATCAGTTATATCCAATGCTTCTTTTTCTATCTAATGCAAGAACTCAGATCAAGAAGCTACCTTGATATATTTGGATGCATTAAATATTTTTAAAAAGACAGCTACAATGTAATATTCATTACGTATTTTTCATCTGATAATGTGTTTATTCTAGCAAGTTTACTTTTTTGTTTATGTTTGTTTGCCAATTTTTTTGAGTAAAAATGGTTTAGTAAATGAGGTTCAGCAGGTTTTTCCTACCAGTTTTGCTGTGGCTGACTCTGAGTCTCCATACCAGTTCTAAAAGACTTGAAAGTACCAGCTCACAGAAATGAAACAGATTCCACTAATCGGCATTACATCTGCCATCTCTCAGTCAGAACCCAGCATGACTGACTTTAGTGCTCAGTACAACCCTCACGGGATCTTTCACTTGTTAACACTTATCTGTTGAATTCTGTGCTGTGCCAGGATGACAATCCTCTACCACCTGAATGCAGTAGGACACCACATTCAGAAAGCAATGGAAGCACAGTGAAGAACATTTGGAGTACTCATTAAGAACCAAGGCATTTGCCAGTAACCAGTACAATGTGGTAAAAGCAGTTTGTATTCCTCCTATAATAAAGAAGGTCAGAGGAACACACTCACCTTATCAGGATGAACTACAAGCACTGCTTTCCTGTAGTACTTCTTTACTTGCTCAGGAGTTACTAAATCTGCCATGCTGACTGGTTTCCACTTATTTTCCCCTTCCCAAAGCACTGTATGAAGAGTGGATATCAATGCTCTGATATTTCTCTCCTTTCCTTCAATCCATTCAAGAATCTGGGAAAATCAGAAAATATAGAACTGAATGCAGCACTGTAAGCATTCTCGGCCTCTACAGACATAATCTTCAGTTTCTGCAAGACTATTATGAATACAAAACTTAAGTACAGTTGTCCTACTGCACTCACTCCCCAAATTCAATTGTCTTACCCACCCAAAAATGATATTTTGCATCTACCACTAGGGAATGGCTCATTATTACTATTTTATTGCAGAAATTCACTCATTGCAAGAGAAATTACTGAGATAGTTATATGTTACAAACCTCTGTAAAATTAATGGCAAGAGAAATAACAGGAGTACTTAAAAATATCTGTTACTAAGTAGGTATTACATTAATCTTGTCAGGGCACACACACAAATTATTACTTTATTTGTACAGAAGTGTAAATATACTTTAAAATTTATATTATACAAGCTTTGTACAAAAGATCATGTCTAATAATAATAATTCATGTTTCCTTAAGCAATCTGCAGAGGTGCACAGAGTAAAGTGCTCTTTGAGATATCCCCAAAGTCAGTTATTCTAACAGATATTGCAGATAACAGCAATATTCAAGCCATAGTATAGGGATACAGTGTTTTCATTGAACACTTACTATCACCAGCAAGGATGGTAACTAAATATTGGTACATATTTCCATTTGTGGTGTTTTGTGTTAAAAGGTACCCATGCAAGCTATGCACACGCTCTTCAGAAAGGACATTCTGTGAAAACAAATTTCAGTGTCCCTTTAAAGCTCGTTTACAAACTTTTCTAAAGTACTATAAAGAGTATAAAACTGGAATTGTATTAATATGTAAAGTTATCAATGACTAACGGGTCAAACTAATCTGAACAGCAAAGAACACCTCCCAAACTAGTTATACAGGCTATCTCCAGAACTGCACCTTCTAGTAATTTCTTAGAATGGCAGCAGCACTTGCTAACCAGGAAATGAAAGTACATAGTCATCCTGAAGACAGCTATTCTCACAGGCCTCATTCTTAAAGCATATTTTTATATTATAAGCTAAATCCATCTTTTCCAAATCATGACCCTTTAGCTTTTCTGTTATCAGCAGTTCCAAGTGCAAGATCTGATTTTCACTTAAATCAAAATCACTGTTAAACAAACCTTGAGTTTCAAGGGGTCCATATCTTTAGACATCTCTTGTTTTCTCATCTCAGCAATTGTCTTTGGTCCCTTTTTATCAGATTTTGCTGAAAATCCTTGATTAGATAAGAGATCCTCAAAGTCATTTTCTGAAACTTTTGGCTTTTGACCTATGAAAAGAGAAAAAACATTTAATGAAAAGTTTCACAGGAGAACACATTATCAGGGGAAATATATTGCCCTCAGATACACCTGGATGGCATTTATCATTACCATGATAAATATCCTTCAGTGATTCCAAAAGCCACAAAACTAAGAAGGATAGAAATAAAAGGGATCGTTAACAAACTTTCAGTCCAGCAGAGCAGACAACCTCACATGCTAACCTCTGACTAAATACTTGCATGCCCTTCTTTCTAAAAAAATGGAGTAGATTTGAGGGAGCACACATCTATCCATGATTTTGTAGACAGCTCCATTTTTCCACTGCAAGTTAGTTCCAAATGCTACGCAACTGTTTTCCAAGTAACTGTATACTCGATAGTATCATTGAAAGCACGTAGTCAACATCAAAGCTTGTGAAACTTATACAGAATAATGAAGGGATGAAAATACCAGTATGAATATTCATTACAGAACCAACAAATTTCAGAGAACATGAAACTCTGAACTCTGAAGAGGCTTCTGGATGTAGTCTAGTCCAATCCCCACTAAAAGCAGGAACAACTAGGTACATTTGTTAGGTCTTTGTCCAGCTGAGGTCCATCTGTTTTTAAGGGAGAGGAATTACAACAACCTGTTTCAGCATTTCATTACACCAATTGATTTTTTTCCCTTGCTCTACAGACTTCTCTGTGTTGCAACGTATGGCCACTGCCTCTCCATCCTGACACCCCTTTCCAGATACAGACCAACAGAATAATCCCAATTTAAAGAAGTAACTGCTATTCACTTATATGCCAGTTTAAGGGACACAATCCTAGTATCAACACACCAGAAAATAAAATTTTCCAAGAAAATTCATACAGAAGAGGCCAAGCCTATCCCTGTAACTCCAGATTGGCCTTCTCAGCTGGAACATGATGTTAAAGGTCTGTATGATTCCATATGGTCCTGTCTACATTTCTCTTTCAAACCAAAGAATTTTCAGTAATTTTAACCTCAGTCTTTCTGAAGACAAGCTACTTTTCTTCAGCTAGGAATACCACTGTATCCCTTTACCTTTGTATCATAAACAAACTAACATGAAGCAACATTATCAACCATCTCTCCCTGGATGGATGAAATTTACCTTCCTAAACTCACCATACTTAAACAGCACCCATGTGGGTGATTTGTTACAGCCTTGAGACTTTATGCCCAAACTCACATATACTTGTGCCATCATCAGCTTGTCTGCTGTGCATGGGGATAGCTTTGGAAAGGCAGAATACCAGACTTGGCAAGTGTTTTTCTGTTCTTTACTAGACACAACTTAAATGTAAATAAAAATGTGAAGGTAGAAGAGCTTCTGCAGGTAACAGCATACCCAACTATCTACACATGGGACATTATAAGTAACACACATTCAAAAAACTTACCAAAGCTTGGGGCTCTTACTCCTCTTTCTTCTCGTCCTCCAATAACACTCAAGTTTACTGTGTAGTTGGGCTTAGCTGCTGTGCTTGACTTAGTCTGGGACTGCCATGTAGTAGTTTGTGGTTTGGAGGTTTTCTGCCATTGATTTCCCAGCTTTTGAGATGGAGCAGTCTTCTGACTAAATCCACTACCCAGGAGTCCACCAGTGGATGAACCTAACAATGAATATTGTTAGTTGTTCAATTCAATGCTTGTCACCTGTTTAATACAAGTAAGACAGTTTGGTCTTGACATATAACCACATAGCTCACAGTGATACCAACAAACAAGGGAAAATGTAACACGAAAGTGTGGGTAAAATCAAGTTAAGAGTCTCATTAACAATTTGGAGAGTAGGAGCTGGAGGCTTTACTGAAAGTCTTCTCTTACAACTCAAGGTCTCAACCATCAGTTTTAGCAAAAACATGGACTCTTATCTGAAGGGTCAGGCACATGTCAGACCAGGAGATAATTTTGCTGTGACAGTAGTTCTGCCTCCCACTTTATTATATTTCTGCTAATATGCCGTGCATAACAAATAACTAATTACATAAAACAGTAGCAGACTGAAGATTTTCAAATGAATGCTTTAAAGTCTCTAGTGATTCCTTGCACTATTGTTTAAGGAAGACAAGAAGATTATACTACAGCAGCATGCGCAGGGAATATACTGCACGTGAGTAAGAAAAGCATTGGAGCCTGCAGGAGATACTGTAATCATCCTCCTGTGGCATAGGCCAAGCTTGTCTGGGTATACACACAGCAATGTAAACTTGATTTGCTCTTTCAAATATGGCTCCTCCCACTTCAGCTCTTTTGATGCCTCCCTTTTGTAGTGGCTGCTTATACTTCTAACTTGCACAAGAGGATGTCTCCCCAGAGCCACGTATGAGATACCATACTACATCTTGAAATACTGCACCTGATAAAACCTAGTATTGCAATACAACACCTAATAAAATCTAGGAATGCACTGCTTTTTCATGAAATCACTCAACTGCAGTCAACTCAGTTTTCAGTCATTGACAACTTGTGAAATTTACAGAAAAAAAAATTGTTACTAGTCAGAGCAAATAACCCTGCATACTGAAAAATTATCTTTCACCTATTCTTGCAAAGCATTCTACGCTCACGCTTGCAGTTTTCAAGGCCAACGAATTCTTCCTGTAGGACAAGCCAATGCCTCACTGTTCACAGAAACTTTTCAACACCACACTCCTCCTTACTGATAGAAAAGCATTCCTAAAGAAGAGTGTGATAACACCAACCACCATAGAACACTATCAGTATCCTACCAGTATGCTAATACACCAGTATTAACTACTTTTAGCTGCCATTTCTTTTGGGTTTATAGGGCATTCATATTTAAGCAGCCTGCACTCTCATAAATTTTCTCCCAGAACAATACCTTGTATGTGGAAGCCAAAAAACTCCTATGAAAAATATAACAGAGTGTGGTATTCCAGTCATATTCCAAAACTGAATTTCAGTTCTTCTGATGCCTTGAAAATTCATTGCAACCCTGAGGAACATTAACTAGGACAGTGACATCTGGCTACTTCTTAATGCAGTCATTTTTCCTATTGAAAGCTAACTGAAAGAGTAAGTCCTGCTAAAATCAGTTCCGTTTCTTTCATCGGATTCAGTGTGGGCAGAACCTACATCTTAAGTCGATTTTTTTAATTTATTTTTTTTTTACTGTCACACTATCTATAGATTTAACAACCTGTATCAACCTGAATTGCTAAACTAGAGCATTTTTGAAAATTTTTTATTGCAAATCAGCCTCATTAGTACTGCTTCAAAACCAGAATTTTGCAGTGCTTATACCCAAGCAACATCAAGAAGTCAAACACTGCATGCTACCTAGTGTTTCTACAAGAATTCCACTGGTGCTCAATTCAGTACACTGTGCTAACTGCAAAGGCAAGAGAGTAAAACCTCCATCTGCTCCAAGCCAAGGGAAAAGCAGGTTTATGCAATTCAGTGACACTAGGTTGCTTTAAATCACTCCTTGTACTCTAGGCAACTGGTCACATTTGTTATGGCAGTGTGGGTTCTGAAATGCAAGGACTTCAGCTCTTTTGTGAATGCTACAGGACTAATTCCTTAGGTCAGTAAAAACGCCCTGGAAAAAGAGTTAATCTGCAATGTGTCTTATTCTCCAGAATTCCTTGTGCCCTCCACTGCCAACTGACAGATGTTCCTAATGCTTTTGGTACTGGTGTGCAATGTATGGGCTTGATTTGTGCTCACATTACAAACATGGTTGATGTGAGTAGCAGAGCTATGGAAGTCTAGTGAATTCAAAGGAAAGTACTGAGTTCACTGTCACTTTGGAACTAAAAATTTAACTGATTTAATCCTGCTTTCATTTTAAATCCTTCAAGAACAATATTAATCAATGCTAGGTAAGAAATCTCATGCTCAGGTGTTGAATCAGCAACTCCTAGTTTCTCTTACCATCTCAACTAGATTCTGAAGCATTAATTATTTTTGCTGTTCTTATTGCACAGCTGTAGTTATTTTCTGAAATACTATTCTGGATGTTTCAAAAAAATATCTGGAAGATTCAATCTTTTCTTGTTACTCACCAGCTCTCAGCAAATACTTCAAGCCCGTCATCAAAAACTAAGAAAAAACATTTCCTTTATAGGTTGTCAGTAGCATTTACTGGTACGAGAAGCAAATCAAACAGTAGAGGCACTAAATATAATCTATAAAAAGAAAGATGTTACCTGGAAGACCAGATCCCAGGTTGGCAAGATCAGCAAAAGGGTCAAAGTTCTGAGCTTTCGCCTGGCTGAAAGACAAACCCGAAGACACACTGGACTGGCTTCCGGTAGTAAAAGCTTGGCCTGTATAACAAGAAGACACATCACGTACCTAGGCTGTTAGGAAATTGAGAGAAAGAATAAAAGTAGTATCTCCACAACACCTCATGAAAACCTCCCCAACATTCTACTTCACGACATCTTTTTCTACGACAAGAATCACCATTACTATAGAGAATTGAAACAATTTAATTCCTGTGTCTTGAATTTAAATCTGAAAAACTACACAAGTGCCTTATTAAAGAAGCGTTTAAGCAGCCGAGTAAAAATGCATGAAGAAATGTCCAGCAGTTTCAGGTGATTAAACTGACCCAGTCTGGAGTATTCCTCTAATGGAAAAATGTAACTTCATAATACCTTCACAAACAGGCTTCAGCTGTGGTGATGCTACATTGCTGGTTGTTGAGGAATCTGCCCAAGAATCCCATCCACTTAGGAGATCTGGGTGGCTTGTAGATGATGATATTTTAGGTGGCTCTGGTGTCAAATTGCCTACAGAAGAAAAGAGAAATGTTTTCGTGTTTAAGAAAACCATCACAATCATACATGTTATATTATTGTGTACCCAATGTCAGCTACACAGTTTGCTTAAATTTTTCGGTAACAGTTGTGTAGTCTTAAACAGGACTCAGAAGGGTTATAATCACTGGAATTCCTTCATTTCTGTTTTAAAACATCCCCCACACTTCATAGATAAGGTATTTTTCATGCACAGGCAATGCTATGAATTTAACAGCTTAGGTCTCCTGACCAAAAGGACTAGCTCAGGTACAGATCTAGGGCACTCTGCTGTTCCTAACGCAGCTGGCAAGCAGAAAGCAGCAATGCTCCATGTGCTCTTTATCACTCAGCAGTCTGGGTGCTACACAGGTGAAGCCAAGTCACTTCAAACTGCAGGTTTGCCTAACCCAGGCCTCTTGGCAAAGGGGCTTTTTGGCCAACTAATGCACTCTTTCAGGTGTAACACACGAATGCACACAATTGAAGAGCAGGATACAGAAAGAATGATTTTTTTCTGGGAAAAGGTTAAGAATCTCTAGCTCCATGGATAAAACCCACTTTTCTATAGACCATGACATCTAAATGAAAGTGTCATATTTAAAAGCATGCAAGGATGCTACCACTAACTCCTGGAAAATGTTGCATCCCATCTATAGGTGTAACTGCCATCCCTGACACTTCCAAATTATTCCCCACTACTGACTCATATAAACTATGAGGTGAGCCATCCTCACCTCATAGACTGAGATATGCTCTGTATGGAACACTCAAATCTGCATGCCAGCTCTGAGCATTCTCTTTGAGTACACTTAGTGGAGACTCACAGTGAAGCAGGACAGCAACCCCTACTTTAATGCTGTAACAACTGTCAGTGCTACAGGGAGAGGGGATATTTCAGTAAAACCAATACATTTAGTGCTGCATTTCATAGACAGAGGGTTTAGAAAGTTAACCCAGCCATCCTTACAAAAGCAGTAACATTTTGAGGCTTTGAAAGTCTCAACTACTACATCACAGCCTTTCACTTGTCTCAGCTCTATATTCTAAATATTAGTATCAAATACTCTTAATTATGGAAATAATTAGAAGTAAATTAAATACCCCTATAGTCAATCTACTAATACCATTTATAATTAGATCTCACAGCTGCAAAGCAAGCACATCAAATACTGTGCAACAAATATCTACCAAAAGCCAAATACCATTTCAGCAGTATTCTCTGCTGATTGTGAGGGAAAACAACAGAATAAAATGCAAGAAGTACCCATTATTTCCAGCCCTTTCTCCAGACCCAAGCTTCATCTCCCTGCCTCTGAAACCATGGGAGAAACAGTATGTAATTTGTCTCAATATTCAGGACCCCAGCTACCCACTAAACAGCAATGTCATTGGCTATAAACCAGCACCTATTCACTAGCTTAGAACTTTGCTGTATCGTATTCCTCTCCCAAAAGTTAAGCGGGCCTTGAATTAATACTAATATTGCTTTTTAGGCTGGAAATTATTTTTTCTACAATCTCTGCTATTAAAAGTCTTTTTACGGGAGTATAAGAAAATTAACAACATCATATGAAATTAACTATTAAGAAAACAAGTTGAGAAATAAGAATAAATTAAATTAGAGGTGAATGCATTTGAAGGATTGAGAACATACTATGCGAATAAGCTGTTTTATAACAGTTGGCTTAAGAGCAGACAAGTTCATCGCCTCCCCCACCCCGAACTAAGCAGGAAGTAGCCTACTGAAGTACATTCACTATTAATAGTAAAAAGTCATATACAGCCACTACACTTATTAAAAAAAATCTGAAACAATGCAATGTACAGTATACTACAAGATAACTCATCCCTCCTGAAACTTTGTTCTTATGCTGTCTTACTTTTAGTTCTACAGTGTGGGCATTATGTCAGATTTTAATATCAAGAAAAAATGTTATCAACCAGATAGTTTGACTTCTACATATTCTGAACAGGTATGATGAGAACATACTGAATCCCTGCTTTTACAGCTGGCACACTGGAGTTTATATTGACACATTATGATAAAGGAGCAGAATATCTAAAGAAATGGTAAAACATGAACTATAGCTCAATATTCCAAAAATGGAAGCAATTAAGATCACGAGCACGCAGGTCCAAACTTGGTTGTCTCATGTTTTTTTAAATGCATATTGATAATCTTTAGCCATACAGCAATGAACCACTGGTGGTCAGGGCAAAGAACTGTGTTCTTTACTAACACTGCTCAAACCAAGCTAAGTTGCAAGAATAAGTTGGTGGTAATCAGATCACATTTTCCAGCTTCCCAAAATAAGACACTTGCATTTTACTACACATAACTTCTCATAAGGGTTTTCTTTATTTAACCTGTCATGTCTACAGGAAATCCTTTAATCACAGACAACAGGATTCTCTGTAAACCAAGAGGCTGGTTTAGTATGATGCAAGGTTTTTTTTAACCTTGTCTAAAGCCTGTCTGAGAACTCAAGTCCACAGAAACTAATTTCTCCTCAGGAGGAAACTACATTTATGACTCAGGTTTCTTTCGATCACCTTCCAAATCTTCTGCTGTCTTTGAGGGAAATATATTCTTGACTCAACCTGCATTAAAGATTATCTGCTACTTTGAAAATCCAGGAGAAAATTAAGTTACCCTGTTAATACACAGCTATTTAGCAGCAACAGCACAACATTTTCATTTTAGAGGACAGAATGCCTTGAGAGACCAAGTATAGTCTAAGAACTATCTTTCATTTTAAATCTCCTATGACTTTAAATTTTAAGCCAACATATGAGAAATATAATGTAAAACATCCTGAAGTTGTGTTCACTGAAACATCTTTTTTCCTAGTATTTGTAGCAGTTTAGTAATCATTTACTAACAAAGAAAGCTTATCCATCACTAAAATTTGATTCCAGGCACTTACAAAACTGCTCCAACAGTAGAGTCATCAAATCTCATTACTGCAGCTTATTTTGGATGGTCACTACCATTCCTACTAATTTTTTTTTAGTTTAAATTTTTTTTCTCCTTTTAATGACCTCATGTTTGCACTGTCTTCTGCTCACTGAACATAGTTCTTCCAGATATTTGAGAACATGTTCTTATCTGTCTTTTCTTTTCCAGTTACTAGTCCTTTCAGGACTCGAAAATTCACATTAAGAGCAACATAATTATTAACAGTCCTAACTCACTGAATAAAATTGATACCTGTAACTGGATAGAATGCTAAAGGCTCAGAATACATATGACATTTCAGCTAAACATACATATAAGCTCTCACTTGAAAGATAAATGAAAAGAAGTATGAAACATTACCCCAGTTCTTCCACTTCCATACAGTTTTTAAAGACTGCATAGCAATAGAGAAATATTGGGAAATCAATGTAAAACAGTAGGCTGAAGAGAAAATGGGTACATTTTAAGTATCTTTTCCTATGTTGACAGAAAGCTTCAGAAATTACATTAAAATAGCAGGCATCCTAAAAAACTTACTGGGGTGCAAGCTATCAAGTAAAATCAGAAGGACTAAGCCTAAAACAGTAAGCATTGAAGACAGATGTAAAAACATTAATTAAAATACAAAAATATTTTTCCTACACTTGCTCAAATGTTATTAACAGCTGAATATTGATGGTGATCTCCTTAAGGATGCAGATAAACATTTAGTGAACAGAAATCCATATTTTATTTTTCCCACTTTCATTTAATATATAAAATGGTTTTCTGTCTATGAGGGTTCTGGTACTATTAAAGCTGGAGAAAAGAACTGGAAACATTCTTATAAATGTGTAAAAAGTACTTAATGTGAAGAAACAAAAAAAAGACTGAAACAGACTCTTCTCTGTGTTGCCTAGTGGAAGGACAAGAGGCAGTAGGGCACAAATTGAAATACAAGAAGCTCCATTAAAAAATACTTTCTTTCCTCTAAGATCTCTCCAACACTGGCATAAGTTGCCCAGCTGTAGGGTCTATGGCACTAGAAATACTAAAACACAGAAAGGACACAGTCCTGAACAGCCCACTCTACTTGACCCTGCTTTGAGCACATTAGCCAGAGAATCTCCAGAGGTGCTGCCTCTCATGTGAGTTAGATTTTGGCTGAGATCACAAAATATGCTGAATTACAAGGGAACCACAAGGATCACAGAGTCCAACTCCTGTCTCTGCACAGGACAGCCCCAATAATCACATGTTCCTGAGAGCATTTTCCAAGCACTTCTGGAAGTCTTGTCAGGCTGGTGCTGTGACCACTTCCCACTGTTCCAGCGCTCAACCAACCTCTGGAAGAAAAACCTTTTCCTAATATCCTACCTAAACCTCCCCTAACACAACTGCAAGCCATTCCCTCAGGTCCTAGCACTGGACACCACAGAGATCAGATCAATGTAGGCTCCTCCTCTTTCCCTCACAAGGAAGTTGTAGACTGCAATGAGGTCTCCCCTCAGTCTCCTCCAAGCTAAATACTCCAAGTGACCTCAGCTTCTCCTTAAGGCCCTTCACCATACTCACAGCCCTTCTTTGGACACTCTCTAATGGCTTAATGTCTATCTTTAGGTTGTGGCACCCACAACTGCCTGCAGCACTCAAGGTGAGGCTGCCCCAGCTCAGAGCAGAGCAGGACAATCCCTTCCCTTGCCTGGTTGTGATGCTGTGCCTGATGAATCCCAGGATAGGGTTGCTCCTCCTAGATGCCATAGCACTGCTGACTCATTCAGCTTGCTATCAGCCAGGACCCCCAGGTCCTTTTCCATGGTGTTCCTCCTCAGCATCTCATTCCCCAGTCTGCCTGCACTCAGGTTGCCCCATCCCAGGTGCAGAATCTGGTGGAGATAATGCTCCACAGATCAGTATTGACCAAATCTTCTATTGAACAAAAAATTTATGTGTAACCTCACACAGGGACAGCTATAGTGGCATAAAACTGGCAACTATACAAGTATACAATTGAAACATATGGCTGTTACTATCAACGGGACCAGAAGAAAAACATTGCAAAGGAGGCAGCAAGTGGACTTTTCTCAGCAGAATCAACCACAGCTGGAATATAATGATTAATAGTATGATAGAGAGGACTGGGTAGCCTTTTATTTCAAAGAGGAAGCCCTTCTTTTAGTCAGGCAAATAATGCATTTTTTCCTGTCCAGTTTATTGGTAGCTAACACTCAGACTGTATCCCTCAGACACAGGGTCAACTAGAGCAACTGCTAAACAAAGAGGGGCAAGTCAAAACTGCATGCAAAAAGCTCTGGGAAGAAATCATCCTGGATTCAGGAAAAGGTGTGTGATACCACTATTCCTAGCTACCTGCACACTGTAAGTAGGTATCTGCATTAGAAGAGACCTGGGCTTCTCTATTGGACACAGCCAGCTCCAACAGACTCACACAAGTCACAGCTGAGCCTCCCAAACTAGATGTCTTTGGGAAAACATGTTTTCCCAAAAAATGCTGCCCAGCAACTATAAGAGAAGGAGTGACAGAAACAGCCCTGCAGACATTAAGGCTTGTGGAGAAGGAACGGGAGGAGGTGCCCCAGATACCAGAGCAGAGATTGCCCCGCAACACGTGTCAAAGACCACACTAGAACAAATTCACACTGCAGCCTGTGGAGGACCCTACACAGGTGGACGTGTTTGCGATGAAGCCACAGCCCAGGGAGAGCAGCCCACACAGCAGCAGGCTCCTGGCAGGACTCGCAGCACCTGGGAGAATCACATCCCTACTGCAATCTCTCCCTAAAGGACTGTACCCTACACAGATCTACGCTCTTAAAAAGATTGTACCCTGTGGGAAGCACCTATACAGAAAGAGGGGAATGAAAGAGCAGCAGAGAAGAGCCCTTACAGACTGATCACAATTCATATCACTATGGAGAGAACCCACACTTTTCTTTCAAAGTCAGATTTTAAAAAGCTTTAACACTAGTAGCTCTACCACTCCACCATTTTTGCAAATGTCTATTTCTCCTTAAAGAATGATGGGAAGACTGAACATAGCACAAAGATTTTTGTTTGAAGATTAATAGATTTTAGAATAACTGCCTAAGGAAAAGGTTTTGCCAAGAATATATCAGAGAAATGAAACAAATAAGATTAGAGTATTACATAATGTACTTTGTAAGTATAATACCAGAATACATTCAGGTCAGGAAGGTGCAAGCTAGCCTCAGCCTGCACTTTTAAGAACTGGCTAAATTATAACTTGACTTGCTCATTTCTCATCCAATGCTTCTAGAAAGTCTTTCAAACCTGAATACAGTCAACATAGCATACTATATCATCTATAAAGTAATTTTCCAGATGTTTGGGTACCCTCAGTTATTAGATCAATGAGAGGAAACTCCAACTCCAAACATATGGTTAGCAATACTAGAAATCCTACCACATGATAAATAATAACATGACATTATACAGGAAACACTTGCTTCTTGGTGCATTTGCATCTGTGCTTCCAGAGTACAAAGCTAATTAAAACAGCAATCACAATAAGTGGATCTAGTAAGACACTAATCCACTAAGCTGAAAGATAAATGCAGAGGAGAATAAACTGTTGAGAAACAGACCACCAGAAGCACACTTACCCAAATTTAAGAAATCTGAGCTAGAAGAAGGTGGAAGTGAGCTTTGTGTGGAAGGAACTATATTAGGTGTAGACGTTGAGATTGGATTAAGGAAGTCCCCAAAAAGGTCTGGACCAGACAGGGCTTGATTCTCTGAACTTGATGCCATTGTGAATGGGTCAAACGGATCGGCTGAAAAAGAAGAAAAAAAAATGACAAATTGTAGAATAAATGAAGTTGAAAAAGCCTCACTCAGAGGGCACAGACAAAAAGCAAAGCTCATGCTAGTAACTGCAGCAGCCTTCTGTGAATTTTGTGTGGCAAAAAGTAATCACCTATTCCTTCCTCTAGACAAATGAACTTACAGATGGTACAAAAAGGATCTCAGCCATACATAATATGAACAGCTATGCCTTCTAACAAAAGCAGCAAGACTGTCTAACAAGCAGCATACAATTCAACAACATTGTTAATTTCATCCATTTAAGACACATCTCTAAGTTTGAGTGACCCTCTGACACATAAAAGAATTACATTTGTTAAATACTCCATAATGCCAAATCTGCAACAGATTTGAAGAAAATTTACTATTATACTATTAAAAAGAATAGGAAGCAAAACCCTCATACTACCATTCAGACTTGAAGGCATTGGAGATTCTAGGGCAGAAAGCACGTCAACCCAAGAATGAAAACCAACAGAAGTAAGACTTCAGGAGGTCTCTAGTGATCCCAGTGAAGAAAAAACTAACTGGAAGAGTATTTATAGTCAGCATGGAGTAACATGTGACAGTCAGCTGGAATCACAGCTTTAGATCTTCCTGTTTCTGCTGCCCTCTAGGGTCAAAATCCCTCAAGAGCCCAGGGAGTCCTGCCAGATTCACTCAGAAGCTGAAGAGAAGGAATAATCCTGCTCTAATACCCCAGCACATCTTCAGGTAATGACCACACTGTATAGGACTCAGCAACATTTCAAGCAACTTTACTATAGCATCACCACATAAACAAAACCTCACATAAATCTGTTGTGCAAGCCAAAATATAACAATGGCTAAATAGCCACTCATGGCTCACTTCTGCAATTATCTCTCTTAATACAATTTAATGAAATACACTGAATGAGAATGACTACAAGAATGAGATACATTCATGACTAGTGCTCAGGTGTTTCATGCAATCGACATGGTTAAAGAAAGATAACATAATAAAGGTTCCCTTTTGTAGAATTCTATCTATGTAAAAATGGCAAATTAAAGTTATTCTTCCCTGATTACAGTAACAAAGATCAATAGTGAATTGCCTCAAAATAAGAAAATATCTTAAATCATCTAAATGCTCTATAAAAAATACTTCTATTTGTCTACAAATGAAAGCTTTTAGTACCTATGAATTATCTTTGTGCAAACAAACAAAACCTAGTAATGGTTTCCCAGCTTATGTGACTAATATTTTCAGAAATCTTACCATTAACTTTAGGCAGAGAATTGTTATTCCTAAAAAGTGACAAAGAGATGAGTATCCACTGGTAAGAGGAAGATAACCTCTGAACTAAAACACTTTGTTTAAATACCAAATAGACAGCACTACTTAGCATTCTCATTAAGGATACTGATCTGCCAACAACGTCAGTAAAGCCAGCAAGAAAACATCTTTTAGAAGTATCATTATCCCACTGGTCTGAACAATAATCTACAGGATTTCCAGCTGCTCAGTAGTCTTATGTGATTAACATTTAAAAATCCCACACAGACATTCGACCTAAGCAGCACAGCTCTGTACATCTAATGCCATTGCTTTATGTAAAGTTCCAGTTATGACAATTCCATGCCTTAACAAGGAAAGTTACAGATTTAGAACAGGATCTAGCATGTAACATTCATATGGGAAAGCTAAGAATTCTTTAAGATACAGAATTACCTTTAAATTCAAGATTTCATGCTTTTCTATTTACAAGAGTTTGAAGTTAATAGGGTACTGGAAATGTAACAGAATATCTGAGTAACATACAGGAATTTCTCTCCTTCATGCAGAAATAAGACCTGATCTATTTATAGTCTTGCTACAGACTGACATGTCTTCACCCTACTGTAGAAACACAGTACTTATTTTCTAAGCACAATGCAAGCAGCAGTTTTCACGTGTTGCCCAGGTGACAAATACTGATATGAAACTCACATACCTGAAGACATGGCTGCTGCTGAAGACAAATCCTGAGTAGCAGCTGAACATTGACTGCTGAAAAAGAAATCTGTTCCTTGTCCAAGAAGATCTCCAGTGGGCTCATTTGAAACCTGTGACACACTACTCACAAACAGATTGTTCAACAAGTCTGCATTACTTGATGAAGAGTTTATTTCTGAGATAGGTTGTTTCTGTTCTGCTGAAATATCAGAGTCTAGTCCCAGCAAGTCTACATTCTCTTCAGGGAGAGATTTTTGTAACGGTGCAGATGGAGCTTCAAAACTGGCTTCAAAAAGCAACTCTCCTTCTGGAGTAGAATCTTTTTCATCAACAATTACTGCACTTCCTTCATCTGGAAATGCTGGGAACTCCTCATCTGAAGGATCACTCTCTTCCCTGTCATCAGATAGCTGAACACAATCATTTTTAGATGAGCTGTCCTCTCTTCCACTTTCTGGAGTTTTTCCTTCTTGAATAGAAAAAAAAGGGAATAAGATCTTTAAATAACCAGCGTTATTCTTCTGACTAGGGTAAGAGAAACTTTCATGGTGACATCATACGAAATTAATTCCTAACTACTCAAAACTCGTAAGAATTGATGAAAAAGGAACTACATGTTGCCTGCCACCTCTTTGTACAGGGCAGAAAAAGCAGCATCTGACTACCATATTTGTCACTCCATAAAGGTAGGCATTACGAATTTTTTCAAAATGAGACTGACTTGGACATTCACCTCAGATCACTATGTCTCTTAGAGCTTACAGGGTATCTCAGTAACTGCTGCACTCAAGAAAAGCATAAGCAGCTGCTGACATTTTTGCCAACAAAGCAGCACCCAGAAAAGAGAGTTACACATGCGCTATAAAAATTACGTTTACTTAGTCCTACTTACTGATCCAGACCCCACTGGCTAGTCTACTTTGCTTCCTTTGTTCCTCAGCCAAAGTGGGACTGTGGGAGGGAAAAGCTTCCTTGCAGATCTTTAAGGTTCAGAATTTTACAGAAAAAGAAAAATTTAGCTCAGTATTTGAATTATACGCAACATCAAACCCCCTTACTTGGTGTTTGTCCAAATGTTAATGTTATTGTTATTCTGCAGAGGTCACCTTTAAAATAGCTTTTTCTCATGGTTAGTGAATTAGAGAATTCTGCTGCCTAAGAAGGTTTAAGCATTCACTGCAAGGCACACAAGACAAACATAAACCACATAGTGACTTAGAGGAAAACCTGTACCTTTCCAGTCCAGAGAGTGAAAGAAGTTGTTTGCATCAGTACTACTGCTGTGTGGGGATTCTGTATCAGTAGGCGCACTTTCTGAAGACTTCTCCAATTGGGATGCCTCCGCTTCATATTGTGCAGTTGAACCTGGCTGTCTAGGCAACTCTGGTTTCCCTATAAAACATAAGCCAGAGTCCTTAGAGAAAAACTTCTCAATCCTCCACATGGCAGCTGATACTTGTCTTTCAGGCTGACTGCTGTAAGAAGACAATTATTTCCAATCTATTGCTCTGCAAATGCAAATTCCTGCCCCCACCATCTCTGAAATTAGCATTAACATCTTTTCAACTGCATAAACTGGTAAAACCCTGTTTTGAACTAGGACATTAAATCACAATCAGAGTAACACTCATGCATTCTATTTACACTTGTAGGAAAATGTAATTAACGTGTCTAGTACCATTAGTACCGGCCATCCCCTAAAACATGCAAGAACCATGAACAGTATCTGCAATAAGAGACAGAAAAACAGAAAAAAGCAAATGTAGCTGTAGAAAAACCCAAAATATGCAAAGCCAGTGAAGAATACGGAGTGGTTAAACACCACAAAGATGTTAATACACTGTATGCTGCTATTAACTTATTTTACTGAAATCCGGTGTTAAGTGATTCTTGTATAAGATTCAGTTGCACAGTTACCTACTGTGGTATCACCTGTCAAAACCAAAGTCTCCTCAAGGCAAAGGGAGAAGACTTTTTAAATTAGTCAATATCCATCCACTATTTGAAAAAAAAAAATGATGGATGGCTGGGAGAAACCTATTTGTCTAAATTTAAATACACAACTGGTAGAGCACTTTTTCACTCTCCTTCCACATTCTCAGTTGTAGCTTAGAGATCCTGAAAAAATACTCCATCTCAGAAAACATACATGAAAGATCACGACTAATGAAAGAGCAAATTCAATTTTAACGGCAAGTTTTTTTAAAATAAGTTCACAGCACTTACTTTTGTCCTATTCCCTTCCCACCAATCTTAAGAAATACTTTCAGTATAACTTGAAATCCTTACATTTCATGTATCAATCAGAAAACGGAAGTGACTTAAGAGTAATTAGAGAGCCTCATCATCAATGATGATGTAAAGCTAAACAGCTTAGCTTTAGAGAGCTGACAGCTGTGTTCACTAGCATTAAGCTAAGTTAAATAGAAAATGGCCTAAACCATAATACAAACAACACATATCTTGCTTAAAAGAAAGGCCAGCAGAAACTGCCTTGTATGAAAAGAAACGTACTTGAGATGCACCCTATTAACAGCATAGGGTAAGATCACATGTATCACTAAAATCACCATAGTAGTCTTCGTCATGCTTCTTTATCCTTGAAACACAGAGAACCCTTAAGAGTCTGAATGAAAATGTCAAAGCTAATCACTGATACCAGAAGAAGAAAGTTTAAGTTAATGCTGGTCAGTATCTAACTCAGGCATCTACTGATGAAGCGCCGAATACATACAACTAATAAAATTAAGTCTGCTGGAATATATTAGGAAAAGTTCAGGAAATTAATTACAACTTTACATGGCCATGCACAAGAATGTTGATAAAAACATTCTTACTGAAAACCACTTGTAAGGAATGCTCACATAATTTTAGGTGAAATGATACTGGTGCCAGTTTAGCCAAATAAATCCCTTTTGAGACATTGTGCCTACAAATACTGACTGTTACAATTCTGCTAGGAGTCCTTCCCTGAAAATGGCCTATTTATAGGTTCAAGCACATGTAAACACAGTGAAAGTAAGACAGGTATAATTACAATCCATTACTAGAGGATAACTTCAGCTCCTCCATACAATGCATGTTTTTAACTGATATTTACCAAAAAAACTCTTTTAGATTTCTTTCAATTAATGGAACATCAAAAACTAAACAAAAGCCTCAAACTCTAAGTACATTGAAAACTCTTTCATGCTCTCTAGTTTTCCATAGGATTCATTACCAAATTTCGATAAAATTTCTTGCTGCTCCTCTCTGGTGGAGAAGAGGATCTTGGGATTCAGTCCCTTTATGTTCATGTTATCCCAAGGTGGCTGTTCACAGCTGGGCCTATCTCTGGGCTCCACTTCTACTTCTAGATTGACTTGAAATAAATCAGGGTATTTTTCTTGTATGTCACAGGCATCCAGATCATATCTGTAAAGACAGAGACAAGGAGTTTCTTGATACACATGGCTAATGGGATTAGATCTACTGCAGTCTAAAACAAAACTCCAAAGCAATTATTATAAGATATTTAAAAATGCTGTATTTGTTTACTTTTCCCATTTTAAACACGTGATATTTTTGTACATAGTTTTGTTTTGGTATCATGAACAAAACATTTCGTTTCCTTAAGGTGAGTAAACAAAAGACACTTATTGCGATCAAGGTCATCTACTTCCTGCACTGACTATATGTCCTCTCCCTGCTAAATGATGACGTTTGGCAGGTTAAATAAATAAAACTTCTTCCAGTCTCCTCCAAAAAAGCGTCAACATACTTGGCAAACTTCACTGTAGTGGCATTTCGGGGCACAAAGCCTGTATGGAACTGAATCTGAAACATCTTCATTGAAGCCATCTGTTGAAAACAAGGAACAGGAAACTATATAAATCCATATGAACAGCACGTACAGTGTTTTGCCTTTAACATAATGCAAAGTATTATCAGTATTGAAATATTTTGAAGCGTTTGCTAAAAAAAATTCCATTTAATTACAAGCATACTTTATCTTGAAAGACTTAAATGCAGTTGAGATGGAGCATAAATAGATCTATTACTAGTACTAACAAACCAAAAGATGTTTATTCAGATATGTCTCATCACTAACCTCAAAACAGACTACCAAAGTCTAAAGTATTTCTAGATCCTGTTCAGGAGGCTAAAATTGTATTACCCTTGTTCCTTTTCTGAATAGCATATGCTCAGAAAAATCCACTGTGCAATACGCTAACCAAGAAATAGATGTAAATCACATATAAAGGACTAGATTAAAAACAGTTTTAAATATAGCACATTTAACAGGACACTTCAGAAGGCATGCAAAGAGATTTTTTTCTGTGCAACTTCAAATCAGCCATTCATTCCAGACAGAATGGGAGGACTTCTCTGAACTGACTCATTTTAATCGCTCAACTGTTCACAGAAAAACTACTTTTCCATGACTGATGGGAATACAAGCGTCCAGAAAATGCTACTACAGAATATTCAGATAGCTCCTGATCTTGCACAGTCCAAATTACAGCTCGCTGATCAATGTACCAGTATTTGTTTTCTGGCATTCGACACCTGTGAAATAGTCTTGCCAGTCCTTATAAAGAAGTCATGCAGTAATAGTCCAGAAAATATGGTATAATAAAACTGAATTTGAAAGCTTTCCTTGTCAATAAGCATTTACTAAACATCACAGCCAGAAACCAAATAACACAAAAAACATTGCCAGAGATTAAGGGGGAGGGGTTGATCCTTCCCCTCAATTCAGCATCAGTGAAGCCTCATCTGTAATCGTGATGCCCAGTGCTGGGCTCCTTAGTACAAGAGAGACATGGACATACTGGAGAGAGCTTCTCTGATTCTTCCATCCCTACCATCACTTTCCTAGAAGATAAACTAAACTCTCTCTGACATTAGCTGTAAGAAAGTAGAAGACATTCACAAAGCCTAGCTCTAAACACAGGAGAAATCTTGAAAATGTGGTGGTTAATCTCTGTAAGAGATCTGCAGAGAACTTCAGGGGGCAATTTACAGCACAAAAAACTAAGGACACACTGAATATTGTTCCATCAAACCTCCAAACCCTGAACATCACACTCACCGTAGATGTATGACACCTGAGAAAATTCTAGTCTTTGCTATCAGTGAATAAATGCCAGAGAAACCACATCAAAGAAGCTACCATGAAAGAAGGTACAAGGAATATAACCTAACCTTGGCTAAATTTTGTCAGTTTTATGCCTTTCTCCAGATGACCTTGAACCATACAGTAGCTATTTTTGTGCATTAAGGAATCATTTCATTAGGTTTTTAGTTTTAAGGTGTTCTGGTCTTGTTGAACCTTTACAACATGACAAGATTTGATACTGCCCTACTCAGAAAACAGAAAAAAAACAGAGGGAAAACAATTTCAGTAACTCTGACTGCGTATGAATACATACATACACGTGTATGTCCCACATGTACCGACACTGGCTGAAAAACTGTTTGATCAACTTCCACATAGCTCCAAGCTCTAAACTTTGCACTACCCCTCCTTATCTTTTACATGGATTTCCAAGTTTAACTTCGGTTACTTATCTGGAGAAAAAAATAATACACCTCTCTTTTAAAAAAAATTGAGGACAGGCTTCATTAACAAGTTTTTTGTGATCTTGTAAAAAACAAGTTTTTTGGGTCATTTGCATCCATAGTTGAATAAAAAAAGGAAAAATGCATTTGCCCTAGTAGAACTAAGACTAGTAAGAAATTTAGCTACATAAACTGAACCTTACTTTAGAAATAGGCTATAAAATCGCACGGATTTTTCCAGCCTGTTTTGTACATGCAGTCTCTGGAATCCCACTTTTCTGTTGAGTGGTATTTTTCCTTTGCTTGCAGTTTGTGTGCACAGAATTAAAAAGCTCTGGCTTGTTGTGCAACTTAACAGATAATAATTGCTGCCTCAAAAAAAACTGGTTAGGGGCTTTCCTTTCAAATATAACAATTATTAGTATTGAAGTACTTTCCAGAAATGCTTATAGAAACATCTACATATATAGCATAAGTAGGAGTGGGCATACTCAGAAGGCTTGAAAAGGTTGAATTCACAAGTGAATGAAAACCTCAAACATTTCTCTGACCAAAGAATAGTAAATAAAGCAAAGTACTCAGTAGTATAGTAGGATACAAACTGCAACCAAAAAAAAACCAAATCTTCCATCATTCAGGCTCATAAATTTATCATTACCTTGGCTTGTAGTCGTCCTCCTAGAGTTGACCTGGCATGATATATCACAATGAGAACATCTCCTTGGACTGTTATACCCAATGGGATTACTGCTTTCCCATCTTCAATTTTGAACTCCCTAAAGAAAAAAAAAACAAACAAAACAACAAACCATAACCACAATTAATTTAGTTTAAAAAAAAAGGTGTACTGCTTTAGATTTAGCCTGCTTTCTCCAAGGCCTTCAGTAGCTGAAAAGCTAGAATGATGATAGTATTCTCTCATTTTTCCTGTCTATGATTACCCACACCTATCAGTGTTAGTACCATGTGCAATTGTGCAGACACCAGAGCTGTACAGGGGCTAATGAGCAGTCACCGTGCAGCTGCCAAGGGGGATCCTTACAGTTTCCATGACTGAGACACGATGGTATGCTCAGCACAAGTACGTCGGAGATCAATGTTCCCAGTCTTGCATCACATGGAGTGAGAAGAGGATCTTGCTCACAGCCTCACAGTGTCCAGTGTGCCACCCCACCATCACCCCCACTGCTCTGAAAGACCAGATCCAAGCTGCTGTAACAACTGCATTCATGACTTACCTTTGAGACCAGCTAAAAAGGGACAGAGGAGTCTAGAAACACATAAATGCTGAAATCTAGAAAAAGGTAATTTGCTGTTTCAGAGCAAGTCGTAATCTGTACTTACTTCATTTTGTCATATTCCTGGGAGGTAGTGGTTACTCTCTCATCTCCCACATAAACCTCACAGAAAGGCCTGCAGCCATTGCGCTGCTTACTGAAAAGGGGAACAGGAGTCATGACAATTGATCTGATCAGGATGGGCTTGCTGTGAGGAATAATGGGTTCTTCAGCCATCATGTCACACATGTACTCAATGTATCTGCCAAAACAAGAAGGTACAATAAGGTATTTAGACAGAGCACAAAATTCTAAGGAATGGGCAAACACATAAGCAAGTTACTTCAGTTCTTACCCAGTCACTAAGCATTGGTAAGTGATAACAGTGAAACAGTGGGAACATTTACCACCACCTCCAGCAAACAGATTTTCAAATCTGATAGAATGACACAAAAGCGTCTGTAGCTTTACATATAATGACTCGTAAAACAAAATAGCCACTACTGCAAAGGCTTTAAAGCACTAAACTAGGAGAACTATTCATTTTGTATCTTACACATAATGGATTACTCAAATCTTCCTAAAGGCTTTAAATTTGTCCTGATTAGTATATATTATTTTGTGGAGAACCTTTTGAGTATACATGAACTGAATGTGCACAAAAACATAATAATACTTATTTCCCACCCTTCAAAATCAAATCCTTTTTGTAGGAAACACCCTTAATACCAGTGTCACTTGTAATTCATACGTTATGGTTATAAGATCATCAAATTAAATCAAATAAACAGTTTAAAACATTTGTCAAAGTATATGCAAGTCACCTCTGCATGCACCCAAAATAAAAACATTAGGCATTTTTACAAAATTGAGAGAAAATTTCTGGTATTCTCTCAGAGCTTGCAGTGTTCTGACATAATAAAATATATTGTAACGAACTAGGAAACATGAAATAAGTCTTACACATGTGGAACAGAATTTTATAACTAAGAAAGCATTCAAAAGCTCTGCATACCCTTGTCTTCATTCCTAACACTTCTTTACTAAAAGGCATACTTGACCCACTTCTCATGGGTACTTACAGACTCAGAAAATTCAGAATTACATTCTATTCACAATCTAGCAAAATATTTGGAAAAACAGATGTCCTATAACATATTCAGAATTGAATAACTACTTGCTTCAACAGTACCTTACAGTACCTTTTATGAGAAGGCCAAATGCCAGGTGGACAGCGTTTCATACTGAACATATAAACAGCAGCCTCAGCAGTAGTGAAGAGACGACAAAAACACAGAAAGGAACAAACTACCACAGCAGATGCTGCTCTTCCATCCTAGTTAAAAAAAAAAGTACCTTTGTTAGTAAATCTAGTCAAAAAAGCATTATCTAAGTTACTGAAGAACATCCCATTATGTATTCTATATCCTACCATTAAATAATGTCATGATGTCCAGGGTCTAGTGCCATTATCTGACTTGAAGATAGTGTGTGAAAGGTTTTCATTTAACTTCCACACCCCATACAAAAGATACTACATATTACTTTCTTGTTCAAATCTCAGTAACTCCTTTAGCTTAACATTATTTGAAATTTTAAACTGATGTTCTTTACCTTACTGTCACTAATACCCATTTTTTAGGTTTGTTTCCTGGCTGCTATCTGAAATCCCAGAACACTGCTATTTTTGACTGACAGCCATGAACTTCTGCTGAAAGAGAAGTACAAAAATTCAGAAGAACTAAACCACACTAAACCCTTCATACTTCTGTCTAAAACTGTTAATAGTTTGCCAAGAAGCCAAGAGAAAGAGATTAAAACACAGAACTTCTTTCCACAGGAATACCAGCTACACACATATACCAGACACTTTCCTGTAATTATAAAAGGCAGAAGATTTGAAGGAGATAATGGCTGACAGAACAGGACTTCTCCAAGTTTGTTTGCTTGCAACGTGGAACAGAATTTTTATCATTCATTTCTTAAAGTTCTGGAGTACACTTTTTACATCACATCTGGCACAAAGTCACATATATACAAAAGTTTCCCTCACGTGTGAGGAAAAGGAATGAATTCAGTACCTTGAACAAAATACTTCAAGGGAAAGATGTTACAAAAACTGGTGCTAAATTCATCACATCTGCTTCTTACCTACTTGACCAGCAATCGTGTGGCACTGAGGTATTAGAAGTATCACATTAATACAGAATTAGATGCCTAACCTCACAGCAGCACTGAAAATTATACTGGCTTTCAGGAGCTGATGTGAACCGGCTTTTTACTTGCAAAACACTACATAACCTACAAATATGGATTGTCAGATTAAAAAATCCTGGTTTTGACTCTGATAGTGATATTCCCTATTGATGGCTATACCATACCACCAGACAGGTTTGGAATGCTTTCCAGCAGCACTGCAAGCATTGTCATATAGTTATGTTTTGCTTTTTACTTCGCATCAAAATTAGAATGTAAAAATTTCACATGCAGTTCTCTTAAACAAATGTAAGAGTGACCTAATTTTCAAATTCTGAGCAAAGTATTCTTTAAATTCATTCTTCCCCCCACCATGTTTGACATGAAGTGGCTCTATAAACAGTTTTCTTCTTTCTTTTGGTTATATCAAAGTTAATAATACTTTGGAGAATAGTGAAATCTACAGAGCAATCTGCTGCCAGCAAAAGCAAGTAAACCGGAAGTCTTACAGTCAGTTTCTGAAATTCTGTGGCTACAGATTACATTCTAAATGGACAGTAATGGGATATACAGTATACACCCATTTATCACACAGAAAACAAAATTGGAGCAAAAAGTGAAATAGTAGAGCAGATTTTTTTTCTTCCAAAGGCTACTTTGCCTTCATACTTCCTGTATACTGCCTTCCACTCTAAAGGCAAGTAAGCAAGGGTTACATTACCCTACTAATTTCCCTAAGCAGAAAATTGATGCAAGTAACATCCCTACAAACACAGGAAGGAATTTACCCCAGGGCTTCCAGTAAAGAAACCCAGTAATAGTCACAAACTGAATGGATACTTGCACCCTTATTCACAATCTAAAGCTCTACTGAACAAAGCATTTCAGACTTAAATTTCTTACAAGGCAATGGACAATGCAAACATTTTTCTGGTCTTGTTTCAGCCATAAATGCATGTTCTTGCATATGCTATAGAGATTCTGAAGATTTGGTGCTCGTCTTGCTGGCCAGCCACATTCAGAAACCTGCAATGAGAGAGACAAGAGAGAGTAGACTTGAGAAACAGTATTATATTGTCACATATGCACAACTTAATTTGTGCACATATACTTAAGCAAAAAAAAACAAAAAAAAAACCCACAAAAACAAACAAACAACAAAAAAAGAAAATCACAAAAAATAAAGCAAAACAAAACCCCAACAACAGAAAGATTAGGTTTCTTTCAATATTTATCCTTTGTTCAAAGAGTTTGTATGGTTCAGTAATATTCCATTTACAATTACTGCTTCAAAACAGTAACAAAAAAATCAGCTTCACTGTTAAGAATCTATATCCTTAAAATCAACTGTCCAGTAAGGATGTAGTACATGAAACTTGAATCTTGGGGCACCTGAAACACCTAAAGAGTAGATATATTCAGGATCAAGGAAGCAAATTACAAATGAAACTTCTTTTTGTTTTTAGTCTCAACTGCAATTGCCAGATATTGAAGACCAAGTTTTCCTATCAGCAACATGTCTTCCTATCTAGACAGAGTTCAAGGATTACTCTGAGATTAATTACCTGAACTGATTATCACAAAAAACTGTGTTTGTTGCCAGGTACGGGAAAAAAGGCTGAAACAAAGAGTCTAAGTCTCCTACAACTTTTCATTGCACTCTAGTATTTCAACTAAAAAATAAAGCAATTTCAGAAAGCATCACTTTGCAAGAGATTTAAACTGCACATTTCTTTGTTGGTGCAAGCTTATGTAAAGTCACTAGTAAACAAAGAAAAACTAAGGCAAAAACTCCATTATATCCCTGTTCATCACAGGATTCAATGTGGGCTTCAAGTCATCTCCAACATTACAACAGTAGTGTGTTCTGGTTTCAGCTGGAATAATTTTCTCCATAGCAACTAAATGAGGACTAAATGAGACTGTGTTTTGTATTTGTGAGGGAAACAGTGTTGATAACACAGGGATGGATTTTTTTATTGGTAAACACAGCTTACACAGAGGTAAGGTCTTTTCTGCCTCTCACATCACCTCACCAGCGAGCAGGCTTGGGGTGGACAAGAAGCTGGGAGGGGACACAGGTGAGACAGGTGACCCCAGTTAACCAAAGGAATATATTCCATACCACAGGACATCATGCTCAACCCATAAAGCCGGGGAAAAATGAATGGAAGGGGAAACATCTAGAGCAATGGCATCTGTCTTCCAAAGTAATCATAATACAGGATGGAGCCCTGCATTCCTGGAGATGGCTGTACACCTGCTTGCCCACAGGAAAAGTTGGAAAAATTCCTTGTTTTGCTTTGCTTGCACCTGTGGTTTTTGTTTTACCTATCAAACTGCTTTTATTTCAATGCACAAGTTCTCATTTTTACCGTGTGCTGTCCCCCCTCAGTTCTAGCAGGGAAGAATAAGCAGGCAGCTGTGTGGGACTTGTTTGCTGACTGAATTTAAATCACAACACTGCAAAAGAATTGTATTGAAGCATTGCAGCTTCAGACTAGAACACAGCCTAAAAAAACATGTGTAGTCAATAAAGCAAAAAGGACTGACGTTTCCTTTTAATTTACCATTTACTTCCTACTCAAACACTACGTCTCCTACAAGATGTAACAAAAACAACGTTACTTTCTGTTTCTTTAGCTGTGTTTTAAGCTCTAAGTGTACTGACAATTAGCAGAAAGACGGATAGTGCACAAAATCTCAGAACAACCAGTTCCAAGAAGGACTCAAAACTAGCAGAGAAGACTTCAAAACTACCATTAATTTTAACCAAGATTAAAGAAATTTGTAGAATTTCCATAAAGATAGCAAACAGCAAGAAGCCAATAATACGCAAATACCTTCTAAGTAAAGTATTAGAATTAAGAATTTTAGAAGCTGTTCCCCTCTGATCATGTTTAAAGGTTTGCCATAATCATCTTTCGCAGGCATTAAAGTAAAACTAAGCTTCTTTAGGCTCCTACATGGCTGCCCTCACTCAGAACTGAACAATGAAGTTAGTCAGTATCGCTGGACATCTCAATTTCAAGAATAGGCAGGTAAGAGTTCCAAATACAATTAGAGTTTGTTTCTAAGCAAAACAGCTGCCTTCCTTGATACTCCTAGACAGAGTGGTCACAAACCTGTAATGTTTCAACTAATTATGATCTACTAAGACTTCCCAACAAAACCAAGATCATATTACCATTCTTAGTACCAACACATCAGAAATACCACCTCAGACTTGCATAACCAAAAAATCCATTGGCAAGCAAATGCCCAATCACAGAATTTATCATTCCATAAACAGAGTCTAATCACTCTGCAGGATGTGGAATAAATCAGTTCACTGCATCAGTCCAGATTTTCCAGCAATCTAGTGCTAAAAAGAATTGCTGAACATTTTACTTTGAGGTACCTGCTACAAATAATTATGCAGTAGATTTCCTGTATAATCAAGCTTTTTTGCCTTCCATCTTCAATAGGCTCTGCCTGAACCTTATATTGAATCAGATAGAGATAAACAAGCTGATTGCATTCATCCAAAGAGGCAGTAATGATTTCTTCCACGTGACAATACTTTATCTTGTTTACAAGGAAACAAAAGGAAGTGATAGCACTAGAAAGACTACATTACATATACCTCACCCTGACATGTTAAGTGAACTCTGATAACTGAAATAATGCTAAGGATGGCTCCACATACTAAAGCCCAAAAGACTATTTTTCTATAACAAATAATGGTTCTAGACTCTCTTCTTGGCAAACAGTATTGTGTGGAAGGGGCATGATCACAACAGACTGTTCAGGTACTGGACAACTCACAACACAGTAACAGTCTTGACTGTTGAGTCTCTTACAGGACAGTTGAGGTTTACTTAGAAGCAGACATTGAAGTCCAGTATCTCAGCAGTTAACAAGATGTCCTCAATACCTTGTTGCTGATTTAGGCAAATACCTTCATATTAGTATCAGAGAAATAGCCAGGAAGGATAATGGAGCCTTAGCTAAGCTACAATACTGAAGATGGTAGGAACAATCAGTCAGCTATGGCTGAGTCATATGGGAGTCAAATGTTATCTAGTGGGACAAGGAGAAACCAGTGAACAGATTATGCAAATCAGTCACCATGTCCTTGATAAAGGAAAATGGTAGAATATAGGAGAGATGAGCTTATACTAAAACTTTAATTACTTTAAGTATTCTCCACTTAAATTTGAAACACATAAGGTACATGGGCATATTTTCAAAGATATCACTATCCTAGAACAAACAGACTTTAGTCAGTAAGATTAAAGATTAGTCTGCTACCAGTTAAGTTTGGATTTAAAGCAAAGACAAGGAGAAAATAGGTTACTCTTTAATCTTGTGTTTATACTTATTTGTCATCTTTTTGATAACCTGCTTTAACCTATTTTACAATAAAAAGCTGAAGGTATAATGAAAACAATGTGTTTCAAGGCCTTTTAGAGAAATACATAAAAACTATACACACCCTGTTATGGAATCTTGAAGGCCTGTATGTTCTTGGAGAGAGATTATACACAGCATAATGGCCAGGATGTTTGGAGTCCAGACACAACCGCACATCTTCTATGTTATTTTTGATGGCAGATTCTACTCCTTCAGCTGGAAAGGACATCACTGAAGACAAAACAAACAGCAGTTGAAATTTTTCATATATTAAGACCAAGGAGAAATTAAATTTAAGAAAGATATAGATATCATACCAGCAATTCTGGAAGTAATGTATGATATATCCAAGTCTCCTTTTGCATAACTGAAAGAGAACACATTGGTGTTAATACTGGGAGATATAACCATTGAAGCCATAATTCTAAAAGCCAGGTATCTCATGTGGTACCCACCACTATGAATAACATTTCACTTCTTCCATCTGAGGCTTTTTACATTCACATTTCAAGAACTTCAGAACAGAGCTTTCAGAACAGATACTGAGTTTAAGCAGTTACTCATTTAAATCAGCTGCACCAAAACCATTTGTGGGATTTTGTACAGATGCCTTCAATATTCAACTCTCTCCTCTAGCCACTGCTCTTACTGATAAAAAAATGCACTGTAGGTTGTCAGTTTCAAAGCCTAATGAGGATACATTAATATCTTTAATGAAGAATATCTCAAAGAAAGACTACTAGTTGAACATCAAAGTTTCAATTGCATAACTCTGGCATGTTACTAGCACAGATGGCCATGCTGCCCAATATACAAATTCCATATGGACAGTGTTAAGAACACTTCCCTGTCTAGCCATTCAGGAAAGACTCTGGCAGTCACACTAAAACCACTATCAGACTTGTCACTGCCAGGACTGAAGCCTCTGGGCAGCTGGAGAGCCGATGGATGCCCTGCTTGATTCCTATACACCCTGCATTCCCAGTCAGACCAGCTTTCTTTACCAGTCGGACCCCAGGCTGCCCTTAGCAGAGTCCCGGATCTATGGTTACTTCAACTAATCTGTTGCTCCTGCAGAGTAACAGCTGGAGGAGCTCCCTCCCAGGACCGACTTCCAAGAAAGGAAATGGTGGGCTTTTATACTCTCAGAATCTATAAGTGGCAAAGTCTGGGGTCTTCCTGCTGATCCTTAGGTCCTGCTGTGTCTCAGTTTCCTGGCTGTGTCACAGGTCCCTGTGACCTTTGCTGTGCCAAACGTCACCAATTCCTGACCTCCTGCCTCGGGCTCCCATCCAGAGCTCAACCTGAAACTCTCACTGCAGCTGTACCCCGAGCTACCTGCACACAACATAGAGGGTATCTGAATCTCTTTCCTCATTTAAATAATTCTCCCAAAAATTCACTTCCAGAACTCCCATAGCGAGCAAGATATTAATCATTACTCATATCTCTCTCATACAATTGTGCACAGTTTAAAAGTGCATCCTTTACAAAAAATCTCCCAGTGATACTTAGGTGAACTCCCTGCACCTTTATCTAATCATCTACATTATGTCAACAATTAACTAATTTAAGACCACTATTATATTTTTGTTTCTATGGTCTCTGCTATGTAGCAGAATGAAAAAGCAAGAGAAAAAAACTGAAGAGACCCAGTGCAGGCCAACAGCCTTGAATATAACTACACAGGTCTGCACTCCCGAATTAGCAAAATAAGAACAAATCTCACCAACAGAATTTGATTTAGACATCTCTAACTTAAATAACTCCAGAATAGTCTATTAACTCCAGAATATCAAAATGTCATCAAAATACTATGATGCATATTAAATTAATTCAGAGGCACTAATGAAACTTTTATACCTCAACAAAATTTCAAGACATTGAAATAGGATACTGCGCACAAATTTTGAAACACCAAGAAAAAACATTAAGTTTTGATTCTTTACATACTATTTGTTAGTAATGATGGAGGTTAGAGGGATTGATTAAAAAATACATTGTATATATAAATGAATATTTAATATACAAGGATAGTGAGGAGAATTTTAGATTAGGGAAGAAAAATCTTCTGAATGCAAGGCCATTTAACGGTATTTATGCAGAATGGCATAATCAGTGTCCTAGCAGTGATAATGACTCACTGTTTCAAACAAACCACAAGGAAGTTTGAGTCTCACTAGACAAAGCATTTTAAAAAAACTAAAACCCTCAGCCTTGAGAAACCTTCATCAGGAGGTACACAAATGGGTGCAAATTCAAAATATTTTGCACCTTCATCATGTATGCTTAGGTGGTATTCCTGTTGCAGCCAAACTAATTAAGGCAGAAATTTAAATGCAGAGCTAGTAACAGTTGTTTACTAAAATTTGTGATGATTGTAGTCCTTTATAGAGATGAGATGTGTCAAATGCTATTTATTGGTTACATCCAGCAGCTTCAAGCAAGAAAACATGTAATCATTCTAATATTAGATTTTTTTGGTATCAAGATAAAGGACCAGCTAATATGACAGCTGCATAACACAGAACCATTATCCCTTCAATGCCGTAACACCAAGGTTAAGCAGCAACTTGTAACATTGGCACAAAACTATTAAGAGCAAAAAACCAACAGTACTCACACCCACTCTCTTAGGAAGACTTTCAGATACTGACTTCTTACTACCAACAACACTCAGCTTTGGCTTTTATATTTGTCTAAATTAAAAAGCAACATTAGGAGCATGGATCTTACCATATACACATAGATATGAGTGCAGTTTAGTATGTCAACAACAGAGCACAGCATAGCCAACTTAAGCTTTAGATTTTGCAGGAGTATCTCAAGTATGTGAGTATTACACTGAAAAAGCTTCAGAATTTTTGCAGTCTTAATTAAAATGAAGGTTATTAATGTCAAATCAATCAAAGTCTCCAGAACATGTCACCACGTCCTTGAATGCACTGAACTTTAGAATAAAGATTTCACAGCTATTTCAGTACTAAGACCTTCACATAAGGAATTCTGTTTTCACCAGAGAGTTTTACATCAGAATGGTAACTGGGATTTCTTTAATTGCTAAGAAGGTGAAAAAACATGTATTCTTCTCATTTTTTAAGCATTCCAAGATAGAACTCTCTAAATAAAACCAGAAATAAGGTCTTTTTTTTCATATCCTTAACAGAAGGAATTTCATTTAGATAGCAGCTTTGCTGGCAGGTGATAAGAAAAGCATGCAAACAGAGATACATAGAGTGTTTTCAGGCTGTGATCCAACATAGGAAACTCCATGTGCTTTTAAGGGTCTAATTAAACTCAACAAAAAAGCATGACATAACACCAACATTTAGTCACTTTTCTGATGATACCAGGCTTCTTCAGAACTGCGACTATTTCATTGTGGGACAGGACTAGACTAGTCTAGTCTCTGTATGGAGGTTTGGTGTTATTTCCTTACAAAATCTAATGGGGGCCTGCCTAAAAGAAAGCCAGAGGGATACGTTTTGCAAAGGCATGTAATGATAGGATACGAGGGAATGGCTTTAAACTGAAAGAGAGCAGACTGATATTTGTCTGGTCTAGTTGAAGGTGTCCCTGCCCATTGCTCAGGGGTTAGAATCAGATGCTGCTTCCAATCCAAACTACTGTTTGATTTTATGAAACGAAGCAAATAAGACATTAATTCTCATTTTGCAGAATAAATATCAAAGCAAAAATAAGAAGTTCTAACTGTATTTTTGAAACTTCTCACTATGTAAATGGCTGGCATTATCATTGTTGCCAGAGACTAGATGCACCTAAAGACTGTAAGTAACATTAAACAAAAGTCCATTCCAGCAAATTAAAAACAATGAAACTAAAATTAGCAACTAAACTCACAAAATAAACTAGTACGGCAGTACCTTTTGTTTACTAACAACTGAAGATGATAAAGAACAAAGAATGACAGACTAATCAGGACAGTTACAATGTGAGCACATAAACCATTAAGTTAAATACTGCCCTAACACTGAGGAATCTTCCTCCAGACACCTCTACACTTACAGGATTAGGAAAAAAAAAAAAACTATCCATCAATTTTTCCAATTTATTTTTTAAAAGCCAGGAAGAAAAACAGCACTAAAATTCACGTCTATCTATTCCCACTTGGTTTTGCTTCAAAGAAGAGAATTAATCATGCATCTACCTAGTGCAATGCGAAGATCCATGAAATAAAATATTAAAGAAACAAAATTAAAATCAAAGAAAGCATGCATAAAAGACAGCTACTTTTTCCTAGATTACTACATTATAATCTCTTCAGCAAAAGAGATTGTTCACAAGTTTTGCCTGCTGCTTTTGATACCAGTGAAGACCCGATCCTTAAAACATTTAGCTATGTTTTTTTGTAGGGCATTTGTAACATGGATGGATGTAGACCTCAATAAGCATACAAACTGGTCAAGGGCACAGAAGCTCCAAAAGTGAGAAATTGATAAGCTTAAATGAGAAATGCTGTGGCTGCACAGCTGCAGGTGAGCTTCCAGGCACACATGGACACATCTGCTGGATCCAAGCTACAGACAGTGCCACTTCACAAAGCAATGCCTATCTTCTCCATCTCTATCCTGGTACTTGCTTTTAAATCAGTTTGTAACAAGAGGGCTAAACCTCTGTTGCTCATTGTCCTCTCGCATGTAACTACAAGCTGCTGCATCTGCCTAACCTGAACCTGCAACAGAGTTTATGACACTTGCAACTGAGATGGCCTGGGGGACAGTAAAGATGGTCCTCATTTACTCTCCTGTTCCTAGCAGCTGTAATGTGTGTTTCAGTTTTCAGATTTTATCATTTATTAGGACTAACAAGAGACCAAAATCAGAATCAAGCTAAAGGTAGCTACAGAAAAAAATTAACTTTTCTGTCACAAGAAAAAAATACTTAAATCTTACACTGCAGTTTTGGATTCAGTGAGATAGAAGCCTGTCTGCAGACAAAGGAAGTAACTGTAATTCAGAAAAGCAATGATAAGTAGGAAGGAGAGGGCCTACCTAATGAAATGATAGACTCCAGCATGGAAAGTGCTTAAGTGGGGTGAGGAAAACGCATGACAAAGAAGAGACATTTTAATTTTTCCAGAATGTCTGCTTCTTTTGTTGGTTGAAGAGTTTTGGAAAGGCAGCCAAGATGCAACAGCAGAAGAGATATTCTCACAGCGCCGATTGTCTCAGCTATATCCGCAACATAAGTTTGTGAAGACAGAGAATGAACATGACAGACATAAGATATGCCCTATGGTAGATGCAAACAAAGAATTAACAATTCAGCTTGATTAAAACACAGTTTAAGAATGCACAAGCCCAGTGGTGGAACTCCCAGCAGAATAGTGAATGTTAAATGCTAGCCATGTTAAATACTAAAGGAACTAAACCTACATTAGGCTCTACAGAACAGTAAGTATCGGTCATGTTAATTCATGTTTTGCCATTTCACTGAACTGTCAAATACAGTAATGATTCAAAATAAAGGCAATCCGAAGAATGAAAACTAGACAACTCAGGACTGCTAAATAACACTGGCAAATTACAAGCAGAGAGAGTTTCTCTTTCATTCACTGGAAAACAAGTATTAAAGTAACTGATTCTCACTAGCTGAATTACATGCTTGGAGCATTCCCTCTATTTTTCCCACTTCTCAGACAATGACTAAATCTACTTAGATAACGCAAGAAAAGAAAAACACAGTTCTACAGAGAGGGTGCTCCACAAAACCAAGATTTGCTTATGATAGTGCAGAACTTAGAAATTTGACAGTTTCACAATATTGTGTCACAAGTGATGGTCAAGAGTCAACGAAAACCCTTATTCAACCCACACCAAAACATGTGAAAGGGACTGATCTTCTCATGATGAATCTTCGGACATAGCATACACTGTCTGACAATCCTCGGTCAATTCACCACAGTCCATGCAAATGTGTATTCCTCAGTAGCTTGAAAAGGTCTCTGGCTAGTTGATCATCTTTGGATATGACAATATACCTACCCATTAAAAGCTACAAACCAGTATGAGGTCAAACAATCACATTTTCAAGATACCCAATTCTAGTAAACGTCCATATACGACTTACTATAATTCAAACAAACGAAGTAAAAGTAGTGAGTTTTCCTCTGACTAATATTTAGTAAGTTCCACAAGCCATGCACTAAGCTGTTGTGTTCAGCAACAGAACACTAACTAGCAACTGAGAAGAGGCAGACTAAGTCTCAACAATAAGATAGATGCAAGACTTATTTTGGGGAGTCAGTATAATCTAAACAAACAGTTGTAGAGAAGAGCATGAGAACTGAACAGAATCTTTTCAGACAGCAAGTACTCACTGTCCAGTACTTCAGAAGTTGCTAGATGAGCTCTGCAGATGTGGTTGGATGTACAGTTACTGTTTTATTCCTTGCCCACTACACTTACTATGGAAGCAAAGGAAATCACACAAAGCAAAAAGCTACACACATCTGTAAGGTAAGAGAAATAAAAATAAGATGTCGGCACAGCACAAGCCATTCCATATTAAAAATACAATTTAGACATCCTAATCCACTGCTAGAAAAGGGAAAAACTGCACAAGATGAAATTCAAAAAAGTAATTAAACTTCCAGCAGCCTTTAAGGAAGAAACCACTTGCAAGAGCAGGAAAAGAAAACGGCTTCGAATATACCTAAGTGATGGAGGTACACCCAGAAAGTCTTGTGGAGTCAAGAGAATAAGAAAGTGAAGTGTAGGAGTACTTCAAATGCATGTAGTACAATAAAAACACAGTAAGATCTAACACACATCCATGGGTAAGTAGGGCTTGTAATTTTGTGAAAACTGCTTTTCATCATGCAACAGTTTGTTCCCCTTGTACACCTCCCTGTCCTGTGTCCACATGGTTTCCCCAAGGAGAAAAGTTTAATGCCACTGTCTCAGTTACTTCTCTAGAAAGCTTAAAGACAAACCAAAGCAGTGCAGCTTTTGCAGCCTTTTAAAAAATAGATGACCTGGCCTTTCTAAGCCATATTTGGAAGTTTAAACAGACTAAGTGTATGAGCCAACAGCTGAAAACACACTTGAAGCGGATACAGAGGTGCTGTATCCACAAATCTAACTTACCTGACCATTATAAACTATTTAGCATTATAAACTATGCACAAATAACACAAATTCAGAAAAAAACCTACATATGGAGAAATGTATTTCACAAGCTGAAACACAATATCCCAATTAACACAATCTCAAAAAGCCTACAGGGAGAAATAGATACAGTTCATAGGTACAGTTCAGTATTCTTTTGAAGGCTCTAGTTCAGACACAGTATTCATTAGTGACTTACCTGCTCTTATTAGAACTAAGAAAACCCTTTAACAGTGCACAGAATTTTATTATGAGCTAAAAATAGATAATTTATACAGACTGATTAATATTGATCATAAGTATGTATTAGAAATACTTGAAATGAGACTGATAACCTGATTAGAAAAAAAATAATCACACAATATGAATCTGAAAACATATACCTTTAAACATGAGAGTATTCATACATGCAATACAGGGCAAAAGAGACAAACAGTGCAGTTCCTCTCACACTGTCTTGAAGGCATAGGATTCCATCTGGAAACTAAAGATCTCATTTCCCTGTAGGTTTTTTTCCCTTCCTCACATCTATTCCCTTGATTAGTACCTTTCACCACTCCACCTTTTTAATTCCTTTTACTCATGAAGGCCCTATCTAATAATTCAATTCTCCATGCTGCTCCAGTCCTTATCTGCTCATCTCTCAAAAGGTTTCAGTATTTAAAATACAGTAGGGCAAGTAGTACTTACAGACAGACTCTTACTGTAACATCTCAATTCTAGCATAGGGCTGTTGAAGTAACTTTTGTATTAATATCATACATAAAATCTCAGGGGAGTAGCTATCAGCTATTACAGCTCAAACTTGGATAAATACTCTGAATTTACCATTTCTGGAGTAAACTCCTGCGCCTTCATTTAGAACTCTTATCAGTACAATTTTTTTATCTTTTAGATTTTTTTTTTTACTCACTTGGCCACAGACTGGATAACTTTAGAAGATGTATCCTTAATATTAGTGAAAAATCGCTCTGTTCCACCCCTCAGAATATCAAAGAACCCTCCATAAGTCTGGTCACATTCCGCAACGGTCAGGCCTAGAGTAGTTGAATAAAAATAATTGTACTTTATTATGGAGCCCATTCCAGGATACGAAAAGTATGCTGCCTATAAAGATAGAAGGAAGTGAATGCACGTACAGGCTATACCTTGCTGTAAGGCTCACAGTTCCAAAGCTCTCTTTCACTATGACCTATGCAAAAAAACAGTACTTCCTGCAGTCAGGAAGCACTAGTGATATACTTTACATTGTTTAATTTGCTGTCTGTATTTATGAGAAAACAAGGTAAAAAATTCTGGAAGTAAGGCATATGTTTCATAGCGCCAATGCAGGAAAACATTGCCTTTCTTTAGTATCAGTTTCTAAAATGCAGCTTATCATTAGCAGATCGACTTAACCATCTCCAGTAGACACATTTCAATGCAGGGCTTCAGAAGCAGCTGGCATAGTTAAGCTTAAATTTTAACCACAACATCCCAGATAGCACAACATCACAGCACAATATTCCTATTAATATGATTGTATACAATAAACAGTAGGCATTCTTGCACAAAACACATGACCAGACAGACTTTTGATTATAATTGCATTAGGATGCTGGATTCTTCCACAGAAATTGATACACATGCATTATTAGTGCTATAAATGTTAATAAATAAATTTTAATATTTCCCCTGTCAAATTAATATCCCTTGTCTCATTGACAATTCATCCTAATTAATACGAAGCAAGACATATCAAGCTGGAAAGAAAACCAAATACAATACGAAATAGTCCCTTGATCTCTTCTATATTAACTGCAGTGCTCCATATTCAGATATAATAGCTAATACGGATACAGAAAGAATAGTAAAAACTAATGTAAATAAGCCTATCAAGCTTATTTTCTGTACTATATTAAGTGTTTTCAACTGAATATACTCTGGACTATCCATTTCTACAGACTATGTCAGCTTTTAATTGTGTCATTTTGGAGACATGTTTTGGTTGATTCCATTTAGTTCTGCTAATCCAACCACTGTTTCTATCAGATGGAACCTGAACTCCTCCTCCTCACCACCACTGATGTCCTTTGGTGCAACCTTCTACTGAAGGCCTGGACAGTGCTCCCATAAATAGCTGGGCTCAAGGCAGTACCAGTTACAGCTGTTCCTGAAAGTGCTGACCGGATAGCCACCAAACTGAATTTAGACTGCTGCCTTTTCCCTTTGAGGCTGTCAGATATGGATCTTTTGGAAATTAAAACCTAAATCGCTTTAGACTATTATCACTGTCAGATGCACTTCAAAATATCATGGGGAGTCAAAAGTCTTTTTGGGCAGGAAAGAAAAGGAGAGAGAGGTGGACCCAAATGCTTATGGAATTATTTCTTCCTCATACAGGCTTTTTGCAGTCTAAAATAAACACGTGTGAGGTCAGCAACTTCCGAGCATTACTGAACTACTATGGTCCATAGCCAGAATCCCTACAATTGGTTCTGCATTTCTTTATTAAGATCTCTCATCTGCCAAACATGAAGCCCATTTGAACACAAAGTGATACCAACACACCACAAACAGCTGCTTTCCTTTCACGTTGTAACACACATGATGTTAAATAGTTCCTCTTTCAAAGCAAAGGCAACTCTTGCTTTTTTTACCTCAGAGATTCAGTGTTGAACACAAACTCAGGCTATGTCTCAATTTCAGTACCTTCTGCCACAAGGTAACAACGTTTCAATTGAAATACAATATCCAAGGATTTTTAACAGTTTAAATTCAGCTTCCTATTAAATGCTGCTCTGTAGACAATGAACTTGAGAAATTCATATTTGCACATAGCAACTTAACCTTGCAAAAAAACCCACAAGGAGCAATGCTATAAATGCCAAATGGCTGGTATTAGTACAAAATATCTAATATCCCCAAATGACTTTATTCTCCCATGGAAGATATGTAACAGTCTTCATACTAAAATTACATCTCTTTTTGAACATACCTGCATTGTACAAATTGTTGAGCTGCCCTGCAGGCTTGGAGCTCTGTGAAACAGAGGTCACGGATGTCCGAGGCTGAGCATTGTTTCCATAGCCTCCATTTTGTTCCAGGAGCTAAGGATGAGATGAGATTCCAGATGAGAATTTTCTTGCTAATTTAGCCATCTTGCTATGCTTGGCAAATTGCTGCTATGTGGTGAGAACAAGCAAACTGAACCCCAGGACAAAGCCAGAAAGTCAAGATACACTAATTGACTCACCTGCAGTATAGTGCAAATTAAGCACTGAACAGGAGATGCCTCAGTGGGTTTCAAGTTAGTGTAGGCAGACCCTTCATATATGAAACTTTTCTGTGCAAGTTAATTATGATAAAACATAGCACGTCAAACAGAGTGCTACCATACTATAGGTATACTCAGTAAAACGAGGGGATGAAAAGATTTTCAAAAAGCAGTAAGAAATACTAGATTTCTTTTAAGATCTCTATGCTTTAAAGGGCATATTTTCAAAGATCCTATGAGTGATACTGATCAATTCAACTGAACTTCAAAATAAATTAGTGCAAAATTTTCAAAATACTAAGGAACAGGGGACCTGCTCTGAAATCTTTTACTAAATGCACATACACTGCAGAGGACAAAAAGGAGGACTAATCAATAATACTCCTTATGAGACATTTTTACCTCTGTGATGGGGGATTTAGGATTGACATTCCTAGCTGCTGCAATCTCCTGCAGTTGGTTCACAAGTTCAGTGATTGACAACCTCTCCTCCGGGTTCACTTTCAAAGTAGAGCCTAAAAAAAGAGGAGATTCAGACAATGTAACAAATTCTTCAGAGTTTTTCTCCCAACTGATAATAATTTCTTCAATACATTCCAGTGCAATAAGCAAACATGAACAGAGTGGAGAAGCTGCTAAATCAATATCTAAATATAATTCTCATAATAGTATCCATGAGAAAAAAAAACAGTACACAGGGTCAATAATATTTCAAAGAATACACCTTGGGATCAGTTAATAAAGAACATCAGAGATAACTTTGTGTCTAATACTGTTGGAGTCGAATAGATTTCTGGAAGTAATTAACATTAACAGTAATCTACCTGAAACCTAAAGTAAATAGAATTTTTTAAGCAAGTTCAAAGAAATCAAATCAGAACATTATTTGTTCCAATGACTAGTTCAGATACTGCACAAGACACTTAACCGAACTAAAAAAGCCACTTTCATATAAAATTCCATAATTTTTTGATAATGGATTATTAATAAAATAAGAAGTTTCTGCAGTTTAACTTTTTCAACATCACACATCAATAATATTTAACTATCAGTAAAACAGCTGTCAGTAACAACACGTATCCACAAAGACACAGAATAAATAACACTGTAAACTTACGAATAAGATCATGAAACACAGAATAACGGGTGTCATTTTGTGGGATGACATATTTCCCATTGACTATGCGAAGTTTAGCTCCATCTTCAAATGGGTGTTGCCTAAAGCATAGCAAATACAGGATACAGCCCAGGGCCTACAGAGATAAACAGAAATACTGCATAGAATTATGGGGACCTTTAGGATGGAAAAGACCTTTACAACCCTCAAGTTCAAACATTAACTCAGCACTGACAAGTCCACCTCTAAACCATGCCCCTCAGTACCATATCTACACATCTTGTAAATACCTCCAGGGATGGTAACTCAAACACTGCCCTGGACAGTCTCTTCTAATACCCAATAACTCTTACAGTGAAGAAACATTTTCTAACATCCAATCTAAACATGCCCTTGTGCAACTTGAGGCCATTTCCTCTTGTCTTATCACTTGTTGCTTGGGAAAACTATTCCTGTCAATTTTTAAAAATCATTTAGAAGTCATTACAAAAAAATCCATTTTACGAATTTCAAAGCATACAAAAATGAAGAGTTCTTGCCATACTGACCATGTCCAAGAACAGGATTATTCTTTCAAAAAAAGTTTAGAAGTTTTATTTCACATCTCCATCTTGTGCTGCAAGGAGACATTTTATTTGTCAAGACAGAATTTGGTCTAACTTAGATTCATTGTTATGCAATATAAAAGCTAGATGATTACATAAGTGTTAAGCTTACATATTTAATTGCTTAAATGGCACTAGGAGACACACAAAAATCTCTTTAAAATGCATCTTCTGGTAAAGGTTTGAAGAAAATAACCCTGAAATGACAGTCTCTTTATTCCCTATGGTCAGACGGCTATTCAACTCTTGGAACAAATAAAATTTATGACAATTTTCAGACTAGTTCATTCAAGCCTCAAAAATCACAAAACCTAGACTACCACATCCTAGGAACTTCGAAGTTCCTTCACACGTCCAACTTGAGATTTCTGTAACCCAAGAAGACAACAACTAAGACGGAAGCCAGGATTGAATTCTAATCTCTGAATAGCCTAGGTATTAGGGATTAGAATCTGTAACTGAAATAAATGTAAATTGCTATATATTTTTTGAAATAAATTAAGATATTAAATACACTTGACAGAGTTATACTATCATAACAGAAACATGTTCTGTTTCACCCATAGAAGTTTGATAATAGAGCATCCAATGCCTCCACATGGCTGTTGGCACAATGAGCTGGAAAATTCCTCCTCAAAGTTTCTTCTGAACCCCAGTATGAATGGCTGCTTAAGCATATGGACTTTTATACCACTCACAAATGGAGCAATCCATTCAAGATGTTACCAAAGAAAACTGCCCACTGCCTCTAGTCCTCTGTGCACCATCTCCAACTGCCCTTAGTTGTCAATTTATCCCAATAACACCTTCTAAAGTCTGAAAGTTATTGAAGTCTCTGAGGTGTAGGGATTTAATTACTCCAAAACACTTACTGAGTCTCTCAGTCCAGGACCACAAATAAAGTACCTGCGTTAATTCTGTATATTCTTGCACATTTTTGTCAGGCTGTGGAAAAAAACTCTCTGTAACGTGTACAGGGAAGGAAGCATCACACAGTCCACAATAACTAATCCAGCAGGGCAGTACAGAAAATACAATCTTGTTCTTTCACAAAACGCTTGCTTACAAAGCAGATCATCATTTAGTTCGAGGAAGGAAACTACTCTCTGTGCAGTCCAAGACACTCCACACATCAGGAGTGAGCACCCACAGCCACACAGGAGAGAAACACACTAAGGCAATCAGCTGAACACACAGGAAACTGAGAGGCCACTCAGATCTGATTTTTGCTTCAATTGCTGGAGAATGTTTTTAATTTTTACTCGTTTACCTGCAACTTGGGATTGTAACTGTGATAAATTTTGGCTGTTTTTAACACCAACTGTCATTCCATTTGGCTGGAAGGCAATTTCAGTAGTAGCAAGGCAACTCCTCAAAGCCAACACTATTCACACAGCCTCAGCACTGCTACTCTTGACAGAAGAGGCCATCCACAAGATGTTGTCCCAAAACTGCACAGTCTCTCTATAGAAGTTGCCTGGATCTGTCTCAGCACTCACATGCCAGAAGGTAAAAAAAAGCAGAACCACAAAGTAATCACAAATAACTAGGAAAAACTTTTAGACCTGCTAGTGGGGCTTTACCAGCAACCAATTTAAACCTTCCTTAAGGGGACAGTGGGGTTTTTGGGGGGTTGAGATAGTGTTTGGGGATTGAGGGGATAAGGAAATGGTGGGATTTTTTGGAGCAAATTAAGATGTTATTTTCCCCCTGACTAGCTTCAGGCAACAAGCAGCACACTAAAGTTCTACAGTACATTTCCAGGATGACACAGATACTACAACAAAGCAAAATTAAGTCAAATTAAACTACATGAAACCTAAAGAGATTGTTCAGTTCACACTGAATTAACACATGCAGGATGTCTTGAATGGACCATTCAGATTTTTAAATTAGATATTGTTAAGGAGAACCCAACTTTGAAATTTTGCTCCTTAACAAACATTTCTGAATTCAACTCCTTTGCTTTTTCAGAAATCTTTGAGAGTGAGAGGGTATGAAGGGCCTTTCAAGCATGGAGAAAAATCACTTGACAAGGAACAGCCAGCCACTTAGTTGAATTTCAGTTCAGGAATTCACATTAATTTTGAAAACAAGTAACTAAAACACATTGCTATTTGGATTTAGTGTTTATTCTCTGATCTTTAGACTTGGGTAGGAAATGCACAGAAAGCAGTCAGCCAAGTCTAAGAAACTCTAGTCTTATAACGATACTTAACCACATTCCCGTTGTGGAGTCAATGTGGTTGATAACTAACCTTTCATCTAGGCTGCTAAGACAGGCATTACTTCTGTTGGTTTTAAGCCCATGCAGTGACAAACACACAGACTAAAGAGTGTTAATCATGCTACCTGCTTCCTTCAGAAAACTGCTTTGTTTATCCTAACCACAAACTACAAATCATTTATGCTTCCAGAGACAAATACTTTTATATTTTTATTGAACCCAAAGCATAAAGTAAGAGATATGGAACAATATGTTCCAACCCAGGTATGGTAAATTAAATAGAGGTTCCCAAAACACAGAAGGAGCATGTTAACACTAACATATACAGAGCTATTTTAAAGAAAAAAATAAACTACAATTGCCCTTTCGAGTGAGGCTTTTATTAAACAAATTTCTAGTTTTTTGTTTAATTGGATGATAATAAGGCAAACATCCAGCCTGGATGAGCAAAGAGGTCTTAAAGGAACTTAGAAATAAAAAGAGAATGTATCATCTTTGGAAGGAGGGCCAGGCCTCTCAGGAAGTTTTTACAGGGCATGCATTAAAAAAAATTTGGGAGGCCAAAGCTCAGTTCAAACTTCATTTGTCAACTTTTGTAAAGGAAATAAAAAATGTTTTTACAAATATATTAATGGCACAAGGAAGGGTAAGACCAACCTTTGTTCTCTACTGAGGGAGGGAACTTCATAACTGCAGAGGAAGAGAAGGCAGAAGTGCTTAACACTTTCTTTGCCTTTAGTGAGAAGATGGCTTGTCCTCAGAACAGCTGTTCTCCAGGGTTGGCAGATGGTGTCAGGAAGCAGAATGGTCCTCCTGTTATCCAGGAGGAGGCAGTCACAGAACTGCTGAGCAGCTTAAATGTTCATAAATGTATGGGAACAGATGAGCTTGCAAAGCCTCTCTCCATCATTTACCAACAGTCCTGGCTCACTAGGGAGGTTCCAGATGAATGAAGGTCGGCCAGTGTGACAGGGTGGGAAGGAGGATCCTGGTAACTGTAGGCCAGTTAGCATGACCTCAGTACCCCGTAAGGTAATGGAACAGTTTATGCTGATGCCATCACACAGCACTCAAAGGATGGCCAGGGTGTCAGACCCAGCCAGTGTGGGTTTAGGAGCAGTAGGTCATGTTTGACCTACCTGATCTCCTTGTAAGACCAGGTGGCCCACCTGGTGGATGTGGGAAGGGCTGTGGATGTTGTGTACCTGGACTTCAGCAAGGCCTTTGGCACTGTGTCCCACAGCAAACTCCTGGAAAAGCTGCAGCCCACGGCTTGGACAGGAGCACTCTGTGCTGGGTTAGGAGCTGGCTGGATGGCCGGGCCCAGAGAGTGGTGAACGGTGCTGCATCCAGCTGGGCATCAGTCACCAGTGGTGTCCCTCAAGGATCTGTACTGGCACCAGTTCTATTCAATATTTTCATTGGTGACATGGATGAGAGTACTGAATCTTTCATTAGTAAATCTGCAGATGACACTAAGGTGGGAGTATGTGTTGATTTGTCAGAAGGTGGGAGGGCTCTGTAGAAAGGTTGGATGGAAGAGCAAAGTCCAGTAAGTTGAAGCTTAGTAAGTCCAAGTGCTGTGTCCTGCATTTTGGCCACAATAACCCCCTGCAGAGTTATAGGCTGGGAACAGAGTGGCTGAACAGTGCCCAGGCAGAAAGGGACCTGAGGGTACTGATCGACAGCCGACTGAACACAAGCCAGCAGTGTGCCCTGGTGGCCAAGAAGGCCAATGGCACCCTGGCCTGTATCAGGAATAGTGTGGCCAGCAGGAGCAGAGAGGTCATTCTCCCCCTGTACTCCCACTGGTGAGGCTGCACCTTGAATGCTATGTCCAGTTCAGGGTCCCTCAGTTTAGGATGTTCAGAGTGTGTCCAGAGGAGGCAACAATGCTGGTGAGGAGTTTGGAACACAAACCCTGTGAGGAATGCCTGAGGGAGCTGGGGTTGTTTAGCCTGTAAAAAAAGAGGCTCAGGGGTGACAGTATCACTCTCGACAACTTATTGAAAGGTGACTGTAGCCAGATGGGGTTGGTCTCTTTCTCTAGGCAGCAACTGACAAAACGAAAGGGCACAGTCTTAAGCTGCACCAAAGAAAATATAAGTTGATTGTTAGGAAAAAGTTTTTTACAGAAAGAATGATTAAGTACTGGAATGGTCTGCTCGGGGAAGTGATGGAGTCACCATCCCTGGATGTGTTTAAAAAAAGACTGGATGTGGCACTCGGTATCATGGATTAGTTGAGGTGTTAGGGCATGGGTTGGACTGAATGATCTTGAAGGTCTCTTCCAACCTAGTGATTCTGTATTCCTGGCTCACGCTGACAGTATTTCATACATGTCCAGAGACCAAGTGGTCAGAAAAATGTGTTTTACCTAGTCTTTCTCCACATGCCACAAGAACATCACCAACAGCTGCAGAAACTGAACACAAGTGTCCACAATATCTTGCAACTAATTTAATAAACTGAAAGAAGTTCCAAGATTCCATATAAAAATTTTTAAAGCATCAGCATTACATTTTCTCAATTTGTCTTCTGACACACTGCTGATACAAGTACAAACTGAACAGCTTGACATCTGCTTCTATAAAAAACATTCCATAAACTAAGTAGCTAAGCACTACACTACTGGGGAGTACCTCAGTACTGCAACATTATGCAGCTGGAAAATGTACAGCTGAGGATTTAATATTTACCTCTAATTCTTGCTACAGATTTTTTTAGTGCATGTGAACAGCTTATTATCCTTTCCACGATAAGCATGAATGATCCCTGCATTGCTCTCATCTTTGATATCTGTCAGTATTTTAGCTACATGCCATACCTCAACATAACCATCCTGAGCTCAGCAATAGGCTGTTCCAGGATTATATGCGTAGCAGAGCATGAAAGGCAAGAATTTGAATCTAAGGACTCCCAAGTATTCTGGATTTATGGTGGAAAGCTCCACTAGGCAACAGTTCTACTGAGTGTTAGAGAAGTTCAGCATTGCCTCTCAAATGAAAGTCAAGCTTGATCTGGGAGAAAACCTTGAACAGTACATCTCATTCTTTCAACATTTAGATACAGAGTCCATACCATTTAAGTTTATTTTGATCTAAGACAGCATCCTACTTTTATTTTGGTACTTTAGTTATTTAATCAACAAGCGAACATGAAGCCTGCAAAATCAGTTTCACTATGACATGAGCAACTATGATGCAGCAAGAAAAAAAAATTCTTACCCAAATATCCTGCTTTTCACCAATTGGAAAATTTGAATACAAGTCTATCATTTCAGGTGTCCTGTACATTGGTGTGGTATTCCTTGTGATCTGGAGAAGACAGAATTTATTGAAACAATCTTGAACAATGAGTTTTAACAGCATTCAACCAAGGAAACGGCTCTCCATGTAGAATGGATAGTATGCTCATTTTTAAAATAATTTCAGAAACACTTGTCAAGGAAAAAGCCATCAGCTGAATCCCTCAATAGTCACAACAGCTTTGACATAAGGTCACATGAAGACAGGAGTACTCAACACTGTGATAGTTGAGAGTCTTCCCAAACACAAAAGCACATAAAGTGACTGCTCTACTTGAGGCAAAAATGGACAGGAAAACTAATACCAAAAATAAAAAATAAGCCAACAAGTAAATTCATGTTCCAGTGAGTCTCTCTCACTTCACAGCACACTTGATGACAGTGCATCCAAACGACATTTAGAACGAAACTCTGGTCATAAGAATACCTGAAAAGACCTTTTCTACCACCTTTTTGCACAGACTACACAAGACAAGTGGTCCAAGAATACCAGATTGCAAAATAGGGACTTGTGACGTCAGAAGTTGTACACATGAACGTAAATGTATTTCTCCCACTGATGTACTACATTAGATTTACTAGCATTACTCTCAACTCTAAACTAAGAACAAATGCAAAAGTACATTGCATACTAGATTTGGTTACTGTAGTCCAAGGCACAGCAATACTGCCCATTCCTATTCTGTTCTGCTGAGCAGACTTGCCTCTCATTTACATATCATTCAACTGAGGAAAAAAAGAAGAAAGATGGGAATCAGTGTGGCACAACCAATTTCTTGTCAAGAGTGCAATTAGAAGAAGCCCTAGTAAACACTTCTATTCTCATAGCAGATTGCAGAATGGACACTGACCAAGCTGAAGCAGTGTTTCTACATGCAGCTACAGAATACAAGCTATGATTGTAACTGCAGACAGCTTTTGAACTGTGGCAAAACAAATACAAAACCAAAACTTTATGTATAATACTCTAACTGAAACAATCTTCAGTTGTCTTAGATGCCTCATGAATTAATACTAGATTAATAGTAACAATTAAATCCACTGTTGATATTAAAATTAAATCACATTAAAATAGTCTCACCTCTTCTTCAACCAGTGCTCTCTTCTGCGCAGACCAGCTGTAGTCAGGATAGTAAGCTATAGTCGTAGCACTACCAAAGTCACAAAGTTTAATTGTTCCTTGATTACTGATTAGCAAGTTTTCCACCTTCAAAAAGATGTAAAATAATAGATTTTTAAAAATGCCTTTTTTGCCCTGTATTCTAACACACATTTTACACATGTGTAAAATTACATTTGCAAATTTACACATTTTACATGTGCATACATTTAAAAACTAATCATTTTTGCCAAAAAATAGTTTACAGGAGAACAAAGATTTCAGAGAGTACTGTCGTTTTGTATGGTAGCAACATAGCCAGGTTTTAAAGGGAAGCACCAAGCACATCATGAGCAAGAAACATTCAGGAGAGAAAGAAATAAACCCCAGGGGGAAAAAAAAAAGTAATTTCATTAGAGCCTAAGAAAAGGTTAGCTTTTCAGATGAGAACTTTAGAAGCAGTGTCTTAGAATCCAAATGTTTTCAGGCATAAAAGTGAACACTGTTAGCTTAACTGCAGAGGGATGGAGGTTAGGACTGCTATTGACAAAAACAGGAAGGTACTAGTAGAGAAGCAAGCTGCTATGAGACACCCATAAAGAGGGAACTGTGACCCTGTGGAGACAGAAAACAGCTATTTGAGGACCATATGCTGCCTGAATAGTTCATCATCCATTATCCTGCCTTTTTCTCATTCATAAATTCCAACTGTCCTGTATTGTTTATTGAAACGTGAAAGAAACTTAAGGAAATGGCAAAAGTATTGGGCAGATGTACTTGAAGTCATAATCACGAAAGGACTGAAAAATAAAATCTGTACCTCTGTATAAAGTTAGGAAAAGGTGTCAAAGTTTATTGGTTCAAAACTCTGACTTACAGTTTTCTGTGCTGCTTAGTTTACCTTAAACTGACCTTAGTTTAGACTGCTAAAAAGTGTAGCACAGTTAAATGATCCCTATTTGGGTCCTGTCTGTAGTAAGGCCTCTGCCTCTTGCAGCACAACAATAATTTAATCTTGTTTTGCAGCTTCTGCGATAGGAGACCAGTACAAAACCAAATTCCTGTCTTTTCCCATGCTTTATCTCTGTCAGGAAGGCACATTCCTTGGGAAGAAAAAAAACATTCTGAATTACAGCATTAGCTCAATGTCTATGCAGCCGGTTATGAAAGAAGTTGTCTGTCTATTTTTAAATAGATTTTTTTATATTTCTTTTTCAAAAGAGAGATGCAGCTTTCCAACAAAAGCTAGGGGCTGGCATATAGAACTTTCAGTGAAGAATGGTTAACATGTCTTTCACACGACCTCATGACCTAAAAGCCTGTTCAATGCTACCAAGCAAATAAAAAAAGGAGTGATCTCTCACCAAATCTAGGTTTATATTTATGTGCGATACTAATAGATAACATCAAAGCTTCCATCAAGAGTGTTGAAAATAATTAACACATTTACTTCTAGAAGAGTGGTCATACTTTCCTTCCCCAAAGTAATTAAGTACATGCTTACTTAAGGAGGAACAAATTTTCCTATTTTTATATTCAAATGAAATCCCATCAGGCTGGATACAGACATGTGAAATTTAGACACTATTCCAAGAGTAAGACTCTCCTCTGTCCTATTTTTTTATGTTAATGAAAATTCAAATATATTCATAGTGCAGCAGAATCTCACTGATGATTAGGGCTTCTTCATCTAAGGTATATTGAACAGGTCAAGGTGAACACCTGTCTTCAAAACACAAAATTCAAACTCAGGTAAGTCCTTTCAAATCTCCAAAGCTCCTAAAGGTAGAACACTTTCTATGGCATAACCCTGTAGATTCCAGATAAAGGCTAATAAAACAAACAGAAAAACCCCACACCACTAATAAACAAAATCAAACATGAATTATGCCTACCAAATTTTAAAAGTCAAATTAAAAACAAGCACTGATATACAGTGCAAGTTACCAGTTCTAAAACTAACAGCTTACTACACATTCTCAATAGCAAGATAATCCTTCACAAACAATTCAACATTCTTCTCCTTCAAAGCTTTAACTCTTCCATTACGACATCTACTCAACCCAGAACCGCAGTTCACTAGTTGTAACTATTTTATCAAAAACAAAATACTCAAGGTAACTCAATCAGCAAAACACGATAAGCTACTTTTCTGCAAGTTTGTTTCAGATAGAGTACAAGCAGTTCCTAACCGCAAGCACAAGGAAAAGATGCTGTTTGAAGAGATGCAATGTATTTCAGTGATGACCTTCACTAATACTCAGAAGTTACGGCAGGGCAATAGATTTAAGTGCAATGCTCAAGAATCGTTTTTAACACTGATCCAGTCCAACAGTCTCCTTTGCTGTTCAGAAGTACAGCCTTTACTTCAATACTGTAACATACCTTTAAGTCTCTATGAATAATAGGGGGCTTCTGCTTATGCATATGCTGCACTGCTCGGCAGGTCTGATAAAAGATCTTCAAAACTGTATCACAAGAGATAGGTCCTTTGCATTCTACTTTCTTTAAGAATTCCACCAGCTGTCCTGCAGGAAATGAGAGAAATTCATATAAGCACACAGAGAACACTGCAAATTCTGAAAACTTGACACAAACAGACCCTTGTCAAGAAAGATTTACAGTCCTGAGTCGTATTAAATAGACTCTGAAAATGGCAGGTCCACACTGACTACCGTGACAAAAGAAAGAGTGCTCTAAGGAACTACTCCTACTCTTCCCTTCTCTGACTAGTCTCAAACACAAAAAATTTAATGATTACCTCATATTTAAGACAAGGTTAAACTGTAGTCTAAAACCCATGATCTTTATCCTATGAAAGGTAAGTTTGAACTCTAGCTCCACTGAACCATGCTATCTTATACAGTCATTGAAAGCTTGTAAGTTAACATGCAGCCTGGGCAGAACAGCTGACAGAAGCAATGTGCACTGCTGGGAAAAGAAATAAAGTTTACCTTTACACAGCTCTGTAAGCAGAAGAAACTCTCCCTGCCCCGTGTCTGATTCTTCTTTTCCTATAGAAGCTGCAGAGCAAAACTGGACAATGTTGGGATGACCTGAAAGTTTTTTCTGGAGATAACACGTTCAAGGAAGATGACTCCCAGGTTCATTGATACTATTGCATCCAGTACTTTATTTGAAACTTTAGCTTAAAACCACAGAAAGCATAACAGCTGCAATCAATACCCTAAGCAAAGCAGGGAAATACATGCCTCAGCTGTAAGGAATCTGAGAAAGCAGTTTAAGATAATGTAATAAAAAGTCAAAATATTAAAAAATCCTTATGATTATGGCTCAGGAGAAAATGGACTCAGTAACAGGTCTAGTTCTTTTTGTCCTTTGACAAGGACTGCAAGAGCCTAGCATGAGTAGCAGGGATATCTTGTAACTATCAGCTGCTTCTGTAGATGGCTGATTAAGAAAGGGCTATTGTAACCTCACCTATCTTTTCCAAGGAAGTATTAGGTGTGCCACGGTTCAATTTTAATTAATTAAATGAGAGTTCAAAACAATTAGAGGTCTAAAAGGGCAAGGAACTTAACCTCTCACCATCAGTAATAATTTTTCATGCTAAAACCTTTATCATGTTTCACTTTCAGTTCAAGAATTTGTAGTATCATTTTTGAGCTATGTAAAGGGGAGTATAGTGTAAGTGATCTCAGCTCCTGCCAGTGGAAGTTATGTTGCATTATGCCTGTCTGTGCATACACTGACTGCGAGATAAACAATCTATTTACAGGATGCATACACCAAGTCTGATGACAGAAAAGCAAAGACATTGGAAGTAGAACAAAGATATTAAAAAAGGGTAAGTTGGATCTACACGCTTCACATTAATCTGATCTTAACACATATCTATTCAGAGCTCCAGGAATTAATTGCATTTCACAGTCTTATCTCAAAGTTACCAACAATTAACCCTTCATCATGTTGTACACCTGCTTTAATGACACTGAGCTGTGAAAAATATCCCAAGAACATTGAGTTCTGTAGAGGAAATTAAGGCAGAAAAGGGACATAATATCTTCCCTGAGGCTCTTATGCACAACCCTGTGTATGGCTGGGAGAATGATGACACTGAGCTATCCCTAAATAGGCTGTATGAGAAAGTACAGTAAAGTAACAACAGTAAGCGGATGGGAAAGCACCATAACGTAACAACGGTAAACTGATGGAAAGGTACATTAAAGCAGCAAATAGGTAAATAGACACGCAGGGAAAGTATAGCAAAGTAGCAAATAGGTAAAGCGGATGTGACTAGATTAGGCTGCTAGACTGCTTGAGCCAACGGGTGGGGAAGATGCCGTAAAAGCACGTGAAACCAATCAATAAGTAACAAATAATATGTGGACAGTGCTTAATAACCAATTGCATGCTTGCTAGATTCGAGTGATCACTGTAACAAACCCTATAAAATATGTACACTTTGATACAATAAAGAAATGAATGTTAGAGATACACTCATGCCTCCATGAGGCCTCTGTGAATACTCAGCTAAGATCTCCTGCTATCCGGACAAGATTTCTCCCATTACAGTTCTTTACTCTAGGCATGATAATGTCAAAGTAGATAGAAATGTAGAGAAAATTATATATAATAACATATACATATAACCATGAACCCAGAACTCCACAATGTCAGTCCTCTTAGGAAGTGTATGGTATGAAGAAAAAAGAAGAATCTGTACAGCAATATTTTGTTTCCCAGAAATCTCAGGCAGTTAAATACGTTACAGAAAAGGATACCATAAAACAAACTTCCTGAATGATGGCTTTGTTCTTTTCCTCTTCATTAGACAACAATCGCTGTCAAAAAAAACAAAATAACTGAGAAGATATAGTTACTGAAACTTACAGAATAACAGTGCAAAAATTTTGTTTTTTCACAGAATATGAAGGGTAAACTACAGTCAAAAACCTGATGAACTGTAATGGGGCAGTAAACAAAGCTGGCTTATTGTACATTTTGACATTCTGTCACAAGTAATATCCAGTTTTCCAGTTACCTGGAGTATTGAAGTTTAGTGATAATCGAGCAGTTGTAACTTTTGACACTCTTAAAAGTAACTGCTCTGACAGTTCTGCTATATAAAACCCTAAAGTCTCCTGGCTACAGCATGGTAGGCTAACAGGGAAAGAGTCACTTTCTGTCTAAAATACTCAGCAACAATCTTCAACTCCCTCTGGACTAAACTCCTCCAGATTACATAGCCCAGCTTTTTCAATGGGACATGCATAATCAGTAGCAAAATTAAGCATTATTGTTTCTAGTATTACCTGGATTTGCAGCAGGTAATGGTACAATCAGCCTGAGCATTCACTACAAAAGTACCGGTTTTACAGAGCAGAGGAAGTATAGTAATGGTTCACCTTCTACTTGTTATTTTTTAATGGGGCTACTTCTAGAGGACCTTTCGAATGAACACATATAGTGTATGGCTTTGGTCACACGTTTTGTTCATGTAGGATGTGGAATGAAATGCAAAAACCCAAAGTTACTCCTGATGGTAGAATGCCAAATAACCTCTCCCGCCCCTCATACAACTTCTCTATTTACAGCCGATTACCAGAAGCCTCTAGAAACCAAGAATCCAGAGAAGTGTCTCTAAAAACTACCAGGCTGAATGTTAAAACAATGAGTCAAAGTGTGGAGCATTAATTTTAATACTAAGGAAATTTACTCTTAAAGTAAGAAGGTGGGCTAAATATGCTCCTGATGAATGAAAAAGACACCTCTACTCCACTTCAGGCAACTATGAAATATTCTTTCCATCCATGTAACAAAATGTTTTGGACTGGATCATGAATTTCTACACCAAAAAAACAAAGACCAGGGACACTTAAAAGGCCAATTGTCACCTAAGTATGAAGCGCAGCGTTCTAACTGGAATGACCATTCTAAATAGCAGGCTACACCACTAATATACTGGATTTTTTCAAGTTACTTGCTCAGTGGCATACATCAAGGACTAATTGTCGTGCTAAAATACCAAGCTAAAAGACAGACGTTACAAACCTATAGCGAAGTAAATTAATATTACCTTCAAAGCATAATCTTTGCCACTTCCAAGATCTTGAGCTTCATAGACAAAAGCAAAACCTCCTACAAGAAGAAGGCACATTAAGTTAGTTTTAATTTCAATATTCAGGTACATCATTCTTTTTAGTCTAACAGAATCAATACATGAATTTAGATACATTTCTGAATGCATCAAATACACATTTTTCAGCATCTGGTCAGGATTGCTGATACTCAGCACGAGTTCAGATATTCTATTCCTTTCTTGTACATAAGCCAAGAGCACACTGACTTTCTTACCTTCCTGAATTTTGTTAAGTCTGCATATGCAGATTTCTTATTAAGCCTTTTTTTTTTTTAAAGGTCCTTATAAAACCAAAACGCAGTACAGCATTTGTATGTAATTAAATGTAAATATTACCTGATTATTTCAATTAAATTTTTTGGTATTACACTGCTAACATTTTGTATAAAAAACAGCAATAACTATGAAAGGTAAGTGCTAAACATACCCTCCTATTTTTAAGATAACTGTCATGCTTCAGGCTTCATATTAAAAGCAGAAAGATTTTCAAGCACTGAAGCACACATTCCAATAAGGCTAATTTGTTACTCAATTGCAACGTGTTATTCCATAAAATATTTCCCTTCCAACTCCTTTTGTCAAACGATCTATTTTCTCAAACACTTCCTTTTGCTCAAGAACACTGGGCAAACCTCATTGTTTGAGAGTACATAACTAGCTTAAAATACACTTTTCTACTCCAGTGATTGCACCTTATTATCAAGTACTGAAATGCTAAACAGAACGGAGTTCATTAAACTTTGCAGATCTCCAGAGAAAAGTCAGTGGTATCATGCCTGGTTAATTCCTATTTCATTGCACCTGCCTTATAGAGAACCCAACTTCTATGGCTTACTAGCTCACTTTTTAAAACTGTGTCCCTCTCAAAACATCAGCTTCAAGTAAGTTTCCCATTGTCATTTCACTTTTTCACTTGAACACAATTCAGCTCATTCCATGTAGTGTTTGGTTCATTACAACTGCAGCACTACAGCAGATACCATGCTTGATCTCATGGATTTTCTGGGAGCTAGAGCATATTGTGAAGGTACTTTTAATTTTCTTAAAGCCATCTGTTATTAGTGAAAACAATTCTTACACAAAAGGCAAAACTAATCCTACTGCTTCATTCTTAAAAGCAGTTTCATTTACAGTTTGATGCTGGCTCCCTTGGAGAAGTAGTCTATTAAAGCAGTTTCAATATACCCTCAGTAGGGACCAGCTTACTGGCAAAACTTCTTCTCTGCCAAAACAGTTTACTCCAAGCCTCCTGACCAATATATTTTGCAGAAATTCAGAAAAAATAAGTTTAAAAGCACTTTCAACAAGCCTCTACAAACACCTGTACAGCAGACCTAATTGAGGCAAGTGGTAAAATGTAAGTTAAGAGAAGAACAGCTTCTAGGGGTATCTAAAGATTGTAATTACATTTGGGGTGTTTTCACTCATTTTTTTCCACTTACGTATATGTTTGTAGATGGCTTTTAGATAGTTTTCTGAGGCTTTCTGTATCAGCAAAATCATCTTAGCATTCCCCCACACAGATCACCAGTGTCAAGGTATATACACACCCACCCCAGCTATTGCCCAGAGAGACAGGTTTTGCATTGCTGAGGCATTTCAGAGCCCCATTTTCAGAAGACAGCACAAGCCCTCCAAAGTCATTTGAGATAGTATTTTCTAATACAGAAATTACTGCAGAAGAAAATTTGGTTTATTTCTTTTCTGTAGACACAAGCTCTCACACATCAAGGCTCACTACAGGGCACCACACCAACTCACAAAAATCAGAAACTAACTCTACCTCATTTGCTTTATTAGTGAGCACTCTACACTTATCCTTGCACCACCACAGGCCTCAGGCAGTGCTCCTGTCAGTACTTCATCATTCTCTTACAGAGTCTTGAAGACCTTTGCTTTTCCAAACAAGAGATTTGTGATTCTCCCTCAAGTCAAACCCTGGCATCACATAATACTGAATAACTTAACTGCATTTAGACATCAAGTTGGATTTCAAACTGTTCTTTTTTATCATGTCCCTGTTTTTAATTTCTTCACAAATTATTTTTTCAGATAAGCAGCTTCGTAAAATGACAGCTAGAGAAGCACCAAAAGAGGGACATCAACCACATCGTAACACTGCTTGCTACTGTAATTCACTCACCGTTTCATTACACACTTAACTAGTCATGAGAAAGTGAGGGTGTGAGTAGCTTCCTGTTTGCTACTATTTGATATGACTTTTCTATTCCCCTCCCAAATACTGACCAAATTTCAGTGGTTTATGTTTCAACTATAACTTGATTGAAACACTATAATTCTAGCCTGTAAGTTACAGTGCATCTTACCTGGAAGCTTCTCAATCAGAGTATCAAAACAGAAAAGATGCTCTGTTATTGTTGCCAAGCACTGATCCACAAGCATCTTTTTTTAAGTCCAGTCATGCATTTGTGTCCATTGCAATCTCCTAGTATCAAGACGAAACTGCCTCAAGAATGAAGGATGGCCCAAATTTAAAGATCTTTCCCACACCCTTGAGAAGCAGAGAGGTAGAATATCTTGAAACTTTCAGAGCTCCTCTGCAAGCAGGAATTGCTACAGCCAAGAAACAACAGCTTTAAAAAATAGGACTGTTCTGCTCCATGTTGAAAACATTGTCTACGTTTACAATAAAGAAAATGGAAACTGGAAAGCTGCTAGATCAGGTACTTTAGTTGTTCTTTAGGAATTATCTTTTCTTCCCCCCTATCTGTCAGCAAATAAAACTAAGTGTCCACAGAAACTTGATATTAAGCATTCATTGTGCCTCTGCTGCTAGAGATTTGCACCCAAAAACCTGGACTGAATTAGGTTATCATTATCCTATGAATCCAGTAGTTGCAGAGACCATAGAATTATTCCTGTAAGCTTGGCAAACTGTAATACTGCCTGTTCACACTCAAAATACTGAGGAAGCCCTGAAGTATCAAAGAAAAGGAAAAAACTGCTTTAATTCCAGAAGTTTCATCTTGGCAGAAAGCAGCCTGTAACAAGTCACCTACTGATGTGGCTTCAAGTTACAATATCTATTTTTAAACTCAAAAAAAACCCCAAACTAAAGTCTATACTCATTTAAGTCCGTAGTCTATTGCTACAGGAATGATTTTTTGAATGATTCCTGACTAAGGAATGATTTTTTCATTATGGCAAAAGCTTTAGACTCAGATCAAACAGATTGAATAATGCATTCTTTTTCTCATCATATTTCTCTTCTTGTGTGCTCTTTTGTCAATGTTTGTTACTCAAAGGAAGTATAAGAATTCATTACATGTGAAGAATGGTTGTTAAACATGTGCTACAGAACTTGCCTGTTCCCTGTTTTTCACACAACTAAATGCCTGGTTTATTCTAAATTGTTCAGTCTCCTATACAAAAGAAGGCAGGAAAACTAGGCAGGAAATATATGACTATTTTACTTAAGTAAAAGGTGGGGGGGGTGTCTGTGCACTTAACCAGAGGATCCAAGAGAGTCATGACCCCCAAAGCCACTATCATACCAAGGGCAAGCAGTGACTATACATAAAAGCCCCCACCAAGTTCCTCTAAAATCTTATCTGAAGTGAGGTACTGAAATGTACAAGCAGAAAAGAAAACGGGATACCATATTCTAGGAGTGCTGAGTCCAGTCCGTGACACACTTAGTCTGTTCGTGCATTTAGAGGTAGTATCAGCACAAGAGATCATCACCAGCTCATCCCCACAGGTTGCTGTCAGCCTCCTGCAGCTGCACACTGTATTTTCAATCAGCCCAGTCCTACCCCAGCACGACACCAGGAAAATGCATCCAAGTGACCTGTGCAACAAGTCTCAGCTTAGAGGCAGCCAACTATGGATTTGCACCAGCACTGGTGCAACACTACAGAGCTGGAAGGAGTTGTGGTCTATGGGAACAACTGAACCTGTGCTGCCACACGAGATTGTGCAATGCTAAACCACAGTCTCTGTTCACATCAGCAACAAACAAAGCTGAGCGCATGAGCCTACAGAAAAGGCTTTCTGTCAGCATTGGCAGGTGACACACAGTTCACCATGGATTTGAAATCCAGATTCAGAAAACAGCTTGACTTTCCAGTGGGGAATTTTCTCGCATCAAAGAACTGATCTGGAAGAAAAACAGATTCTGTATTTGTAACCATGGAAGGGAATACATAAGTGTATTCCATATAGTTGTGGACCCATGTATTAGAAAGGACCACAACAGATTAATGCAACTTGAGTAACCATGGAAGGGAATACATAAGTGTATTCCATATAGTTGTGGACCCATGTATTAGAAAGGACCACAACAGATTAATGCAACTTGAGTGACAAAATAAACTATACGCTGCAGACAAATTTAAGTCTGAAGACAGCAGGAGATATTCCATGTTTTATATCTCTTTTACCTTTATACTCAATATACTGCAAGGGTTCTTTTAGACCAGAGCTCCATTGGCTAGAAAATTGTACCTTGCAGAAAAAGCAAGCAGGTAGCCCAACTTCAGTTAGCAAAATAAGGGGGGGAAAAAAATCTACATAAAATAAAACCATAACACTGAGACAAATACGGAACTTAAAGCAGTGGTTACAGAGAAACTGTCAAGAACTGTAAAGTTAAAGCATGTCTCCATTTGCTTTAAGTCTAACCTGGCATCTTTCCCCTGACGTTTTACAATGCCTGTGTCAGACTCTGGGAAACAGTAGGCTGCTGTCAAAGCAAAGTATTAAAATACCTGCCCCAGAACCAAGAACCAAATAGCATACATGCTTCAAAAATAGTTTTCTTTCCAAACTTTCCTTTGTCCTTCGGTAACTGCTGTGGTTACTGCTGGCAAGAACATTACACTATCAGCAGCACAGACAGTTCTTTTAGCATTCATATCCCACTGAGTGTTTACATTTCAGTCACAATTCTGATTGTAAAGAAACTGTAAGTAAAGGCAGAAGGCAGAACAGGAGGACGTGACATTTAGTACTGTTGTAAATGCGACTTACTACACAAGAAACTGCCAGGTTTTTTCTAAGATCATATGCCAGAAGTACTTGAGTATTCAAGTGACAGATTATTGCCCTTAAGTAGATAAAGCAGTGATGAAGACCTAGTTGCTGTTGTTTTGTAGCACAAAACTTTTATAACTAGCTTATAAGTGATTTGAAGTAGCTAACCTTAACCAAATCTTTCTTCTATGCTGATCACCAAAATTTCAACAGAAAACTACTTAGTACCAGACAATTATTAGAAGAAACTACAGAAAGAAACTCCAATAACGAAAAGGAGCGCTATACAGAGCTTTGAGGTATTTACCCTAAATAACATCAACCTTCTCTACAAAGTTAATGAAATATTTAACTACAGTATTATGTAAAAGTTCACATTATAGTCTTCTGAGACTAGCATTTAATGTCTCTTCTGCTTGAGGAAATAAAGTATTTTCTCTGACCACAAGCACAAGACAATCCAGATTTCTGCTAATATCTAATTGGCATCTATCAAACATATCATCTTCTCTAAAACACATTAACAAGTCGTGTGCCAGGCTACCCACCCAAAACTTCATTGAAACTGGAAATTGCCCAGATATTTAACTCCTTGTACTCTAGCAAAGTCTATGTGCTCAGTAAGATGAGCCTCCTGACATGTGTGTTTAAAGGAAGCACATTTCCTGCATTCCACAATCTTCCAAACAACTCCAAACAGAGGCAACCTTGCACGTTTGGCATAACAATATACATCGTTATTTAAAAAAAAAATTGAAAAGAACAAAAAACAACAAACAAACAAACAAAAAAAAAAAACCCTAACCAAACAAACAAAAAAACCAAACACCACGCAATCCAGAATTTCCGTAAGATCCTTGGTAGATTACAAAGACCCTGACAGACTACAAACTCCTGAGTTCTGTTATGCGGTGAAGGCATCTAAAATCACGAAGCAAGGGAAGAACCGGTCACAGAACACCGCAGCTCTCGGTGGCTATTCCTGAGGCGGGGCACTGACACCACGCACTGTTGGCGGGCCTGGGGACACCGTGCCCTGTGCCCGGGACACCGGCCGGAGCGGAGCGGCACGGACACCGCCAGTCCTTCCCGGGAGGCCGGAACCGCCGCCCCGGCCACCGCCCGCCCGCCCTCACCCGGGCGCGGCCTGCCAAAGAGGAAACCCTCCCGGTCCAGGAATAGGAGACGGGGAAAACGGGAGCGGGAGGCCCGGGGGCAAGCCCATCCCAGCCCCGCAGCGCCAGGGTCCGCCCCGCTCCGCACGGCCCGGCCCTGCAGCCCGCTCTTACCCTCGGCGATGACCCGCTTGATACGCAGCTTCATGTCGCCCATCTCCACCGTCTGCCCCACGAAATCGTTCTGGTCGCGGCTGGCGGCGCCCAGAGAGCCGGGGCCCGCCAGGAAGTCCAGGGCGGACTGGAAAAGCGACATGGCTCCCAGCCGGCAGTGGAACAGAATGGGACAGCAAGGGATGGAAACAGAGAGGGATGGAGTTGGAGGGCTCCGCCGAGCCACCAACAGCCGCGGCGAGAGCCCGGCTGCCTCTTCTACCGTCTCCTCAGCCCCTCTTCCCTCAAGTCCGTGCGGCTTCCGGGAACGCTGCGTCACTTACGCGCTCTTGGCGCCGCCCGCCCGCCGCAGCCCAGCCGGGCGCGGCCCCGCCCCGCGGGAGGAGCTCCGGGTCCGGCTCCCTCCCCGCCCCGCTCCTGCACCGTCCCCTCACCGAGTCCCTCTCAGCTGCGCTCCTGCGCTGTCCCCTCACCGCCTCCCGCGCCGGCTCCCGCCCGGCTCCGGTCCTGCAGCGTCCCCTCACGGGCTCTCTCTCCCGCCCATGCTCCCGGCCGGGGCTCCAGCCAGGCACGGGGGACGCACCAAGCTCGCCTTCTCGCCCTGCCCGCGTCGCCTTCCCCTAGGAAGAGTCGCCATTCCCCAGGCAGCGGTGTGTTTCCACATGTTAACGCTTAGGTCGGCAGTCGGCGAGAGATAAATGTTCTCCTGTACGCCGGCACCTCTGGCGCTTGGGCAGCACCTGCGCCTCTCCCACAGCATTCCTGTTCGTCTGCCCTCGGGATCTTCCCACGTCTGTCGCTTTTCCCCCCAACCCTGACGGGCCAGCCGCTGCCCTGCCTGCAGCCCCACTGCTGGGATGCACGGGAGGGCGCGGTGGGGAGCGCTCTCCTTGTGTCGCACTGTTGTGGTTTGACACTGGCCACATGCCAGGCACCCACGAGAGCCGCGCACTCGCTCCTCTGCTACAGCTGGACAGAGGAGAGAAAAAATTAACGAAGGGTTCCTGAGTTGAGGTAAGGACCGGGAGAAAACATTTCAAGGGCAGAACAGGCTCGACTTAGAGATACCAAGTGAGTTTATTACTAACAAAATCAGAGGAGGATAATGAGAAGTAAAATAAGGCCTTAAAAACAACTTTTCTTCCCCCAACCACTCCCTTCTTCCCACCGACAGCACAGGGAGACAGGGTATGGGGCTTTGGTCAGTTCATCACCTGAGGTTTTCTTCCACTGCACAGGCAGAGAAGTCATTCCCCTGTGAGACCGTGGGATCCCTCCCACAGGAGACAGTTCTCTGTGAACTTCTCCAGTGTGGCTCCAAATCTCAGGAGCAGCAGTCCTCGCAAAGCTGCCGCAAGGTAAATCCCTCCCACTGGCACACAGTCCTCCCAAAACTGCTGTGGTGTAGGTCACATGAAGGAGGTATAAGAAAACATGTAGGATAGGCAGCAGGAACGTTACACTTGAAAAAATCAGGATGGATTTGGCACTGCAACTACTGCAAATAAGATAGGAGAGCCGTGATGTGAATGACGCTTTTCTGGATTAAAAAACTTTAGGAGAACACCTCGGTAATATTTTACTGACCTGTGGTTTTAAATATCCAGGATCATACTGGAGAGGTCAAGCAGATCATTCAGTGAGTCCAGAATGCTCTGCAGTGGTGGGGGCTGACCCCATTTTCATTTACTGCTGAATCAAAAGTGTGGTAAAATGCTACCGTTTTTAAGAATACTTGGTCAGAAAAAGGTAAAGTATTCTTTTCATTTATCCAGCTTGAGAGGCCTACGGTTTTGGTTTTTTTTAAGTTTCCAAAGGCTGTAAGGCTTATCACATTTATATGCTGGCACAGTTCCTGTTGAAAAGTAGAGGGAAACAAGGTTGTGCCATCTGTAACTAGTTTGCATCCTAATTCTGACAACTACGCTATACTCCAGTGGGATGCTTGAGCTCTTGATTTAACAACTCTGTTCCAGCCTTCCCTTTTTAACTTTCACATAGTCTTCTTTCTTCTACCGCTTCACCCAGAATGCACCACAAATCAATCTGGCCAAAAACCTTGGGTGGGGAAGGTGGCAAAGAAGGGATTTCCTCTTGTGTCATAAGGTCAAGGCAGGGCAGAACCATAAACTGGAGAATTATTAAGTGAAAAGTTCATTTTGTCTATTAGCATGTAGTAAAGATAGAACTTTAATTTTCGTTCCAGTAATTGCTTTCAGCTTCTTAGGGATTAAATTAATTAAACTGCAATGAGTTAGCATTCTACTTTAGCATTTCTCTATATAACCTTTAACCAAAATATAACCAGAAAACGGCACACATAATAATGTCTGCATAGATCTATATAGGGTTCATTAGATTCAGCACAGCTGAAAATCTATTTTAGAAGTACATCTCAGAAGGAAGATTAAACACTCTTGAATGTTTGTATTTTTTATTGCAATTGCACTTGTGATGTAGTCTAAAAGAATGAGTCATAAAGCTAATCCTCACACAAAGCAAACAGAAGAGGCTTGACCATTCTTAATTTAATATCTTTGTTTTGCATGCAAAGACCCTCCATTCCTTCTCAACTATACCAGAGATCACAACTATACCAATGGCGCTCTTAGAGCCAAACTGGCACTTCTGTCCAGTCTTTTTTTTCCCAGTTGGCTAGACTAGGTTTGAGTGAAACTATGCCCTTTGGAAAGATTTAGGCTTCTTTCTGCCTCACATAATCTAGCAAGAATCAGCAGCTTTGGGAAGTAAACAGCCAGTAGTACCTCTGTTTCACACCCAGGTAATTATGTGCAGCACTAATTTTTAATTCATGTTGCTTTTTGTATGAGTTGCAAAACACAGTGCATAAGCTGTTGTGTTCTTCTGATGTACATTTTTTTTCTTATGCAGATTATCACTTGCTATATGTTGGGAGATTTTTATAATGTACCCTAGCCATGTATTTCAAGTAAGAGTCTGTTCATTTGATACTAAAATAACCTGGTTTATAAAGTAGTATTTGAAGCATTTGGAAATAAAGATATTTTAATTGATCTCTATGTATGTATGCTACATTCTAATTTAGCTAAATTTTCAGCAATAACTGCTGTTATTGATGTGGGAACCCTTTCTTTACATCTGAGTTTCTAGTTTAAGTTATTCTTTTCTGATAATATGAAAATATGCCAATGATTAAAAAAAATCACTGGTTTTGTGGAGCAATAGTTTTGTCTCTAGCTTTGAATTAGTCACTACAAAGTTAGCAGATGTATCTTTATTTTGTTTGCTGGCTTCAAACAAGGCATATATCTTTTTGCTCTTCTTTAGGAAAATTTTATATAGGGAAAATTAGCTACCCTGTATAAATAAAACTAATTTACTGGTTATTAGAAAACTCGCTGAAATTTGTGGGCAGGGTCTCTGGAGATTGCATGTACACTGTACCTGTTCCAGTCTGTAGTTAGGGATCTCTTCTGCAGTTGGTGCTCCTGACTTCCTTGAAACACCAATCAATGACAAGAGAAAGAAAGACTTGGAGTCTATCCAATTTCTTGAAGAAAAGGTCTTTAACTTTGAAGCCAGAAAGCAAAGTGAAAGAAGAGTTTCAGGAATGTGTTTTTACTGTCTGAAATACACTGTGGGGTTTTTGGGTGATGTTGCTTTACTTGTTTGTTTGTTTGATGATAAGCCATGATTAACAGACACCTAAATTGAGCAAATAATTCTTTTATTAAATTTAACAAGATGGTCTTCTTCTGTGGGACCTGTTTCACTTTGGAAGGGTGAAGTATTATGACAGTAAAATTGATACTAGCTGTAATTGAGATAGGTGTAAAATTGTGACTGTATGTCCGTTTACTGAACTTACTTTCAAAAAGTCATTACAGAAATTTTACTGTATGGTCGTCTCTGCAATCCCTTGCCATTGAAACATTGTACTCGTACATTAGTAAAAGTGGAAGTTATTCTGACATTTCCGAATTAGCAAGCTACATTACCATTTCTGAGACAATACCAATTTGAACAAATTTTCATAAAGGTTAATGATAGATTTTATGCCTACGTGGTCACATGCAAACTAAACTGGATTATTTTCAGGCAATGATAGAGTCCAGGGTCTTGTGATAAAAAAGAAAACTTGTCATTAAATAAAAAAACTGCAAAAAATGCCTACACAAAAGAATCGCAGAAATTAGTTTTGTTTTCTTATGGAAGAAAAATGTGCCTCATGTATAGGTCACAAGGACTGACTGCAGCACTGCTGTGCTAGATCAAGTTAACTGTACCAGGAGAGGTAAGGTGCAGGTACAGATGTACAGTGACCTCACTTCAGCTTTGGTCTACCAATGGTGCAGTGGATTGATCAGTCTTTCCATGAAAGGAAGAAGCTTTTAAAAACTTGCTTGAGACTAAGGATATAATCAGCTACTTGCATTTGTTTAGACTTTACCACTGGAGTCTTTATCTTTCTGTTATTTGGGGTGAGGTAGCATATTGCTTAGTTCTTTCTTAAAATTCCCTGGTATTATAGTGAATTACAGAAGTTACAGCATTTTAACATTGTGTCTTAGTTACCAATTTAATGATAAATTTGCTTGCCAGAATTGCTATTTTTGATATTCAAGCATTTTCATCCTCTCTAGTCCTTGAAGAGAGGCTAAATGATTTTGAATGCCTTCTCTGTAGTCAGCCAGAAACGTAAAAGGAAAGTCATGTCCTGCAAGTGTTTTTTACATTTTACTACATTTCATAAGTGGCCAAAATACACTTAATTGAAAATTTATTATACAACCAATTCCAGTTCATGCAGACATAGAAAATTCAAGTTTGAGAGAATGACTATAAATGAATAAAATAATTACAACACAGGTTTCATCAATTTTCACAGATAAAACTACAAAATCATAATGTTCAAAGCAAACAACACTACCTCAGAGCTAGGTATATGTAGTGTTACAATGACCAATGTTCAGAAATGGGTATTTCTACAGATTTGTTTAAACGTAACTGAAACACTTTAACTAAAGCTGTAGTTACAGAAGCTCTGGGTGAAATAATTACAGCAATTTGGCTATTTCTGCTCTCGTCTCACAAGGAGCTCCTAAAGTTACCTCACCAACTTAATCCATTTCAGTACCAAGTTAATTGGGTAAGCAATAGCGGATTTCCCTGGCAGAATAGGAATGGCATCAATAGCCACAAACATTTTAATGTCTGATCACATCAAAGGCCTAAATTATTCACGTCTCCCAGTCAAAGCTG